TTTTCTTTCCTTCCCTCTATTGTCTTTAAGAGCCCAGTTTGGTAGACCTTCTGCCTGACATTCCTGGAGACTGAAATCCTTCATTTCCCAGCAGAGGGGCAAATTACCCCATCTCTTCTTACCCCTATACTCCAGCTCTCACCTGGGCAGATGGAAATCTCAAAAGTGCTCAGCACTTGTCCCAGCTCTGCTCCCTCCCACAAGTAACAAGGGTTGCTGAGTTTTTTTGTTTTTGTTTTTGTTTTTGTTTTTTTTTAATGTTTTGGGTTGGAAGGGACCCATCTAGTTCAACCCCCCTGCAGGAGCAGGGACACCGCTAACTAGATCAGGTTGCTCAGAGCCCCATCCAACCTGGCCTTGAATGTTTCCACGGATGGGGCCTCCACTACCTCTCTGGGCAACCTGTTCCAGTGTTTCACCACCCTCAGTGTAAAGAATTTCTTCCTTATATTCAGTCTAAACCTACCCTGGTTTAGTTTAAAACCATTATGCCTTGTATTGTCACTGCTGGCCCTACTAAAAAGATTTTCCCCATCTTTCCTATAGGCCCCCTTTAAGTACTGAAAGGCCGCAATCAGGTCTCCCCGCAGCGTTCTTTTTTCCAGGCTGAACAACCCCAACTCCCTCAGCCTGTCCTCATAGGAGAGGTGCTCCAGCCCTCAGATCATTTTTGTGGCCCTCCTCTGGACCCGCTCCAACAGTTCCATGTCCTTCTTGTGCTGAGGGCTCCAGAGCTGGACACAGTACTCTAGGTGAGGCCTCACCAGAGCAGAGTAGAGGGGCAGAATCACCTCCCTCGACCTGCTGGCCACGCATCTTAACCTGACTTTCTGGGAACTCTTGTTGGAGTAGTGTTTTGATGGAGGAGGAATATTACTACTTGGTAGAACTTCATGTACTCTTGCTTTCGTATTTCTGCTGCTGCAGCTTGTCTGCTTCTCTAATCTGATATATAGTGACGGCACACTCTTGAAATGGTAGTATCAGAGGAAAACCGGAAATGTTTAGTACACAGAAATACGAAGCTAAACTAGAAGGGGAAATGTACTTTGAAATTTGGCACAATAGTAATTCCCAGTGATGTGTTCTATCATTCAGGAAAATCTGTTGCATTTATTTTGGTGCATAGTGTATTGAACATGATTTCTTTAATTGTTTCCAGAGGTTTATAATGTATTAATGGAACTAAAAAATGGAAAGGAGCCATTTGCAATGTATTTCGCGTTTTTTACACAAAACTTGTGAGAAATGGTAATTTTGAAACGCAAAGCCTCAATGTTATATTTTCAGTTTGGCATGATTTCATTAGAGAGCATGACTTCAGTGATTTACGCTGGGAAGCGTTTATGGGCAACTGAAGAGGGAATTGCTGTTCCCTCGCAGCGGTATGGGATCTCCTCGGTGGGCTGCTCAGCTCTGCAGCGCCTGGTTGGCGTCCAGCTGGTCCGTGCACATGTGCCCCCCAACTTGCACATCCACAGCCCTGGCTCCCGCTGAAGGGGTGCAGGAGGGAGAGGAGGATGCTGTTGGTCTGTCTAGTCACGTTCCCTGGGAGAGGGGAGGAACCGTTGATGTGGATTGTGTGGTGTGTCGGGAAGAATGGAGAGTGTTGTTAGGAAGGCTTCTTTGTGGTACTGCCCTGCGATAATTTGCGTAGGGCATTCGGGATACAAAATCCATGGGAAAATGGGTTTTATTCTGATACTCTTTGTTAGTGAAAGCCTTAGCTTTTGTGTTGGGGTCGAGCTGAGGTGGAGTTAATTTTCCTCATAGCAGCCTGCATAGTGCTGTGCTTTTTATCGGTACGTAGAAAGGTGTTAATAACCCACCAATGTTTTGGCTGCTGCTGAGCAGTGCTCGCATAGCATCAAGGCTGTCTCCCCAGCATTACCCCCCCCACACACCAGTGGGCTGGGAGGGGGCAAGATCTTGTCGTAGCCAAGACACCTGACCCAAACCGACCATATGACTTCAGCTCAGATACAAAAGCTATGGGAAAAGGAGGAGGAAGGGGGGCATTCATCTTTCATGACGTTTTGTCTTCCGGAGCAATGGCTTTGGACACTGAAGCCCTGCTTCCCAGGAAGTGGCTAATGGGAAGTAGAGAATAAAATCTTGTTTTCCTTTTGCTACTGCGCATGGCCTTTGCTTTTGCTTTTTATTAAACTGCCTTTATCTTGACTCATGAGTTTTTTTTTCTTTTCCATCTAATTTTCTCCCTGCCTGTCCTGTGAGGGGAGTGATAGAGCAGCTTGGTGGCACCTGGCATCCAGCCAAGGTCAAACCATCACAGCTTTCAAATGGAAAATAGTGCTACCCGACTGAAAGAACAGTAATAATACTCAAGTGTCGTGTACAACATCCAATTTATTAACTGGATTTCATTGCTTAAGTGTTAGGTATTAAGCATTGATATAATTACTGATGTTCTCAGTTTCTTCAGCATTCCAACCTGATGAATGTGGCAGATTATAGAGCAGGGTAATTGTTTCACAGTTTGCAACTGTACAGAGACTATATAACAATTTTTTTGTTTACTAGTGATTTTTATTTGCATTCATAGGACTGGAAAGTAATACAATGAGAATCATGATTTCTAAAAATCCTGAACCACAGAATATACCCCTTCCTGTGGAATTCTAGAAACAACTTCCAGAAGCTACAAAGATTTCAATTCTGCATTAGCTCTGCTTACTGAAAACACTACAAAAACATTTTTGCTCTGAGACTATATATTGTTATTTATCTTCAGTATTCTTACTTCTGTCCAGATATTGATGTATGAAACAGCATCTAAACTACTTATTTTCTTCTCTTCCAGGCTGCTGAATCAGGAATAATAAAAGTAAAAACAATAGCTGCACGGAACAGTGATATTTTGGCAGGTAATTATTTGCAGTGCAATGGGAAAAATAAACTTGGGTTACAGATCAAAATGTTGAAAAGATGTCTTGGATTTGTGTAATAATCCTACTTGTCTTGTAGTGTGTGCTATATCAGTGTTGCTTTACTTTTGGGCACTTAGCAAAAAGTCCAGTGGCATGAGAATTTCTTAATACTCCTTCTGTTTCATGCTAGTGTACTGATGCTGAGGAAGGTCTCCTTTTTCAGTTGTGGCTCTACAAAATTAATCATCTGCTTAGAAAAATAGCATGAAACGCTTAGACTCCATATTCTCAATGTTTTATTCACTCTCTATGTTCACCACAGCTGTTGTTGAGTGCTCAGTGTGGAGTTCTGCAGTATGATCCTCATCTGTGTGTTTAGTATGAGAGTCTAGCCTTTGGAGACTTGTACCTGGCAGGCAAAAATCCATCTTAATCTGAGACAAGGTCATTCAATTTAAGATGTACCATTGCCTTGAGGGACAGGAAATATCTTGTGAGTTGCAGCTTTGTAAGTGCTTAAAATAGTATCTCTGACTTTCTTCAGCTTTATTAAATAGCCTGTAAATTGATGGCTTCTTGCCAATAGCTGGTAAAGCCTTTGGCCAATTTGAATATCCCTGTATTGATACTTGAGTGTCTACCCAGCTGTAGTCAAAATCCTTAAAATGCTAAATTATTTGAAAGGTCCAGATGAAATAGATGTAAAACTATTTATTGTTTTGAGGTATGTAAATCAGGTATTGGTAAGGAGGCACTTTCTAGAATTATTTGAAGTAGCAGTACCACCCCTCAGTATTTCACTTTAATGCCTCTTTTTTTATTTGTTTATTTTCTTTGTTTTTACTGCTGTCATGAGTGCTGACATAAGTGGGAAAACTGTGCCAGGTAATGTCAGCTATATCAAAATACACAAATGAACAAGAGAAATCTCTAGTTAGCCATTTGGGAAGCTGTCAACATTCTTTGGCATACTACTGTGTAAAGAACTTTATAATTTAGAAAGCTAGTTTGTAATCCTGCAAAATTCTTTGGTTTTTAATCTTCATTTCAAGTGAAGAGGTGAAAGATCATTAATTTTGGCCATGGATAGGCAGTCTTTTATCTTTTTGAGGAAACACTTTGTGGTAGTTGGTCAAATTCCATAAGTACTTTTCCTTTGGAAGGTTTAAACTAGAATATAGATAGTCTTTATTTCAGTCATCAAAAAAACTGCACAGATTTGTTGTTACAAGGTTTGGAAAACCATCAGGTTCTTAAAGTTATTTTGATTAGTTAATCTTTGCTAATAGGATAATAACTTTTTTTCCCAGTAAGAAACCGTGGAACAGAGGGCAACATGTACTTTGCCTGCACATTATCCAACATTCCACAGTTTAAGCATGATGCCATTACAGAGTACCCATTCTTTACAGACTCTTGTATTTTCTGAGGTATCAGTTGTAGCCTAATCTTGTAGATAAGTTAATGTCAAGATCTCTTTTGTCTCCTATGTGCTATTTACTTTTTTTTTTTTGAGGAAGATATTTTGTATGCTTTAGTAATAATAAAGCTGCAAAATGCTACTGTGATTTTGAAAACTAGTGAAATAGATACTTTTTGACTGCTAGATGATTTAAACTGTCATTTTACTACAATAGATAAGGACAACTGTATCAGATTGTTTTGAATAAGCTGACCCGATGCTTTCTTAAAGCATTACACTGTGTAGGACTATAATTATTAGAAAAATAGATGCAGTCTTAAACTGACAAATACACAGAGGTAATGATGAGATGTGTTTAACTTGCCAGAACTCTGAGATCATTGATCTAACTTCCTTTTTTCTCTTGGAAAAGTTAAGTTGAGCAGTTTCAAAGTCTTCATTCTTGGCAGTCTGTACATGCTTTATAAGTCATTTATGAGGACTTGAGTAATTCCAAAAGAGAAGTCAGCTTGTGCTTTACATTGCAGGACATAAATGTGAGAAATTATTTCCATGTGGGTCTGAGATGTGCAATTCATACTTTCGTTTTAGAAGTTCTAAAAAATTAGAATTATAGTCTTGCTGGTGGAATGAAGGAGTAAGTTTTACTTCCCCAAAACTTCTTTTTTCATGTGGCTCATTATGATAGATTTCTTTTTAAATATAATCTTACATAATTTTGGTAGCTAAATGAAAGCAGACCTGCATATAAGAAATTTTTTGTGTGTTTTAAGACTGAAGCTGATATAATGATATAATGATCGGTACCAAAGCAGATCTACGAAACATTAATTTTTCAGCTTCCTAAAGTAAAAATCCTTTTATGGCTCCTGTTGTGAGATTATTGTATTTAATGGATGGTAGGAAAAGCACTGTAAAAGGTTTAAATTTTTCTTTGTCTTGTTATCTATTAACTCTCATGCCATTTTTGCCATTCAGAACTTTTATCATGATAGTCTTACATTAAGGATAAATGTTTTGTGGTATCTTTTTAAAAATTTTGCTTTCTTTTTCCTGCATGATGGTTAGAATCTAATGGCAATTCAGAAATTTATATGAGTGAAGAAGCATTTGCGCCCATGTTAGAGTGAGCTCTCTGGGCTCTATTGGCCATGTGTTGTAGGTGTTCATAGACTATAAAGGCAGCTTAGACATCTAGCTCACATGTAGGCACTGACAACTGGATGCCTAAATTACATGTCTTAATTGGGAACAAGCTTCCATTTTTGATGAAGTAGCCAATGTTTTGGTTTTAATTTGAAAATCATGGAATGTTTCATAAGAGTATGGGTGGATATGGTTTATAATCTGTATTTTAAAAGTAGGTTTATTTGCCTCATAGTTAAGTTAAAAAAACCTGTTGAAATCAAAGCAGATTGTTAAACAGGCAGTGAACCTATGTGTTCATTCACATTTATGCTGACATTATAATTGTTTTTGATTAGGCATTTGGTGCAAGGTCAGCCTCTGTCAACTCGATGTAGAGCCTGTACTGGCTCTGGAGAGGCTGACGAAGCTATGGACTGTATATGTGTTAATATCATCCTGTAAGAACTATTACCTTACAGAAGGTTGGCATCTGTAGTTTATACTAGCCTATTCTTTTCATAGAAACTGGTTAGTCATGTTAGTTAGTACTTCAGTTGAAAAATATCCCTAAAATATGTTTTTGTAGCTTTTACCTCAATGTTTCATTTTTTTCCAGATCAGTTGTAGTGACATTCGTTAATAAACCCTCTTGAGAGCCAAACTTCAAATTGCTCAATAAAAAAATAAAATTGATCATGTCTGCGTTTTTATGTGAGAATGTATTTTTTGTTTTATTTGTGGTAAGATCTGTGCTCTAAAAATGTCTGTGAAAAATTTTCATGAACACATTTCTCTTGTTGCATATAGACTAAAACGTGGTGCATGACATTCAGTGTAAGAACACACATTGAACTTCTGTGAGGAAACTTTTAATATCTGAAATGGTGATGAGCAGCTAAAATCTTTAAAAGTTTGCATGAATCAACAACCACACCTGCAAACAGAAAAGCACTCATCAATCAGAGTCACACTTTCCTTTCATCTTTCAGAAGTATTTTCTTCATTTTTAATTTTATGAAGTTTATATCAGATTTCTAGAATTACTTTTATGGGGAAAAACTTTTTAAAATGTCAGTGTGGAATGTTGTATTCATTGTGAAGTTTTTTTCTCCTAAAAAAAAATAAAAAAATTCACAAATCTTGTGTTTTCTCCGGACAAAGTTTAATTTTAAGAAGCTGCCTTTTCTCGCTAAAACACTGGTTGAAAAATTAACAGTCAGGTGTACGTATGCAGGGTACAAACAGTCCAGTTTCTCCTCCTGTTTTGTCGGTGGCATTTTGCTATTCCCCTTTGTGCTGCGTGCTTTGATGTTTTCCTCTGTGCCAGACTTTGTGTTGCTTTTGAATTTGGTGCCAAGGGGAAGCAAAGCAGAAGGAGAAGGCTACCAGCCCGAGGCTGGTCACGACTGCAGGGCCGGAGAAAGCTCTGGAGTGGGCAGAACCTTACAGCTTCTTAGTAACCAAATGGACTCTAAATGGCCGGTTTGGATTTGGAAAGAGAAAGTCACTTGAGTATGCAAGGGAGAAGGTGCTTGAGATTTGAGCCCCAGCCGGTGTAATTGTGGAAGTGAGCTGTGGCAGCCCGGTGTCTGTCTTCACTTGGCTTTTCCCTGTGGTGCATGAGTAAATCCCAAATTTCCAAGACTGGAGATTGCTTTTTGTTAATACGTATGATTAACAAATTTTGCATTGTACTCTTGAAAGTATCAAACATTGACTGCTTCCATCTCTCTCTTTGAAAGCATTGAAAGAGAACAGCTCAGAGGTAGTTCAGCCTTTTCTAATGGGTTGTGGAACAAAGGAACCAAAGATCACTCAGCTGTGTCTAGCAGCCATACAGAGGCTCATGTCCCATGAAGTTGTTTCAGAGGTAAGATCAATCTTTTTATAAATACATAAATATTTCAGTGTGAGAAATCATAGAATGTTTTGGGTTGGAAGGGACCCCTAGAGGTCATCTAGTCCAACCCCCAAATACTGGCCTCAAACTGAAGGTGAATGCTTTTTTTTTGGGAGGCTGTTTATTTTACACTAAACATAGTTTGCAAAATATTTTACTCATATCTGTTTTTAAAAAAATTGTAATTTGAAAGAAAACCTTTTTGACCATGAAAAAAGGAAAAGAAAAAAGAGGTGAGGAAACATTAGTAACTTCTAGATGGAAATTAATGAAAATTCAAACCAGCACATTTAGTTTGCATTCCTACACTTCAGGAACAGAACATATAATAGTCCTTGATAAATATAATTCTTAAGGCGGCATCCACAAAATTTACTCTGTGTGATATCACTATGTATAATGTTTTTGTTCCATGTCGCTTTTAAACATAAGAAAAAATGGATGCACATTTCATGCAACTGTAAATGTCATGATATATTGTGGTACACTAATGTGTTAAAAAGCTGGTGGAAATAATACTGTTAAAATATACGTTCGGTTGTGCTTTCATAATGTAAAATTACACTGTTTTTTCTCTGATATAAATGAATTTTCAGGGTAAAATATCTTTGTACTGTCTGTTCTATATTTCCAAGTAGAAAATTAAGTACATACTTTAATTTGGACTACACATTAAGAGATTTCTGACATCAGTTCTTTAAAAATATTTTGGGAAGCTTGTGACAAAGAAATTGTTTTTATGTTCTCAATGTAGTCATATAGTATAGACAAACAGGCAAATTCAGTTATGATATGCATTTATGAGTGTGCTATTTGTACATATGTATACATGATATACCAGTATGTAAACATCTTAATTGTTGGCAAAAAAATGATTTCTTTGTAGGCTGCAGCAGGAAACATTATTAATATGCTTTGGCAACTGATGGAAAATAGTCTTGAAGAACTTAAATTGCTTCAGACAGTTCTGGTACTTCTAACAACCAATACAGTTGTGCATGATGAAGCACTGTCCAAGGTAAGAATTTGTTAGTGCCAACTATAGTACTTCAGATACCCAAGAGGAAAATCAGGGAGAAACTTTACATATGAAGCGTTTGGAAATAATGGAAGAGGAGGGAGCTTTTTTGATTCTGTTGTGTCCCTGTTGTTTTTGAACTGAAATTAGAGCACATAGCACAGTGTAAGCTCTCACTAATAAAGCAAATATTAGAAGAAGCTGCCTGCCACCCTGCCTTAAATCTCTATCGGAAGCGGTCCAGTTATTGCTCTTTCAGTCAGAACTGAAATAACTTTTATTGCATAATTTTAAACATGTACCATTTGGGATATTATGTTTCAACTAAGCCAAAAAATAAGGATTCCGGTCCGTTTTAATCTTAAGTTACAAGATACTTTGCTTTGAAGGAGCAACATTGTTTACCCATCTGTGAATTGTGAAGTTCTGTTTAAAGTAAGTTCCTCTCCTAGATTATATTTTATAATTTTTTTGCTTTAACTTACAAGATTTTTTGTTTTTAAACAAATAATTCTAAATTGCTGTCTTTATTATGCTTCACCTTCAGTGTATGGTTTAATATCAGAGCATGGTGGGGTGGTTTTTTTATTTTGGTTTTGAGGGGGGGTTGAGAGCGAGAATAAAATTGAAGACTCTCTTTGAAGACATTCTGTTTTGATGGAAGGTTTTCAGGGTTTTTTTGCTTCTGATTTTAATGAAGTAACTTAGCTGGTTAAACATGTGGATATTAAAGTAATTATTAATCTACTTAACCAAGGGAAGGAAAAACACGAAAGGAAAACAAATCTAAGTTACAAAGGTCTGCTGAAGGCGGGAAGATAACGGAAAAGTTGTAAAACCTATAAATGGCAGAATATAAAATGGCTGAGGATTGAATGGTTTGTCAGTAGGTTCTTTTTTGACTTTTCAGCTAGACCTTTCGGCACAATCTTGTTTCTTTTGTTCCAGATAATGCTTATTTTCCAAATGAGGTGCGATGTTCTGAGGCAGAAGCATGATTTTTGAAGAAAATGGAAATACTTTAGAAAGTGGGATTGTCAGTTATTAACTGGGTGGCAGATGTTCTTTAACAGCGTGCAGTGTTGTTGTTTGATCAAGTTTGAATCTAGGCTCTAGGAGGAGACAGGTGCTGTTTAAGTCCACCATACCTTTCCCTCCTGCGTCTCATCACTTCCCTCATTTATTCTTCTTCCCCTGCCTCCATAATACTCTCTCTCTCCTCCCCTTATTCTTGGGTTCTTGGTATTTACATCCTATTTCGCTTACCTTTTTTGTGTGTGTCTTCCAAACACATTTTTCAGCATCCTTTATTTGTTCATCTCTCTCATGTCTAGAAACTTTCTACTTTTGGACACCAACCAGAAGAGCATGTGGGCACAGCAGTGTCAAATAAGTAGGGAAGGTCTTTCCCAGCACGTCTTCCTCTTGTCTTGTGTCCTGATCCAGAAGCATGCTCACATAGTACGATTACTGGAGAATCTAATTGCTGTACTTCTAACAATTTCCTTAGTGCACATTAAGCTCTAGTATGTTTAGAAATGTATTGTCAAATTTGGGCAGGCTCTGGCAGGAGTAAGAAGAAAAGATTCCTGACAGAGCAATATCCTGTACAATTTCTTGGTGTTGTCCAAGGCCTGAAGTTACTAGAGTTTCTCAGTTAACCAAATAGAAGCATTATTTGGCATGGGTAAAATGGTGCAATGGTTTGGTTTTTTTCCCCACAAGATTCTTTTGAGAAATATCTGCAAGGTGTTTTGGTTTTTTTCCACATTGAAAGGTTCTTAGAGAAAATCAGTTTGAGCCAGACTGCTTGTGGCAATTTGCATATTCGTTTTTCAGCTTGACTGATTTAAATTAAGAAAATTACTGGTAAACCAGATTGAAAAGCCCCTTAATACAGGCACTGCTGTTAGATTAACCTAGAGAATCATGCAGTATCTTCTGAAAGTCAGAGGTGTATGACTGTGTTGTAAAATTTCTAACATCTGAGCACAGTCCATAAATAACTTACAAGAAAAAGAAGCAAAAGAAAATTCCAAATCTTGTATGGCTTAGAGTATGTAGTGCTGTGGCCGGGTGTGGTTGAGGTTCATGCAAGTGCAAGAACACAGAATCAGGACAAAAGAACAAGAAATACAGGTTTCACTACGTATACAGATGTTCATTTTCAAAATTCATTATAAAATAAGTAAGTATTAAATTATGTGTTAGAGGTAATATGAAATCCAATGGGAAGCAGTATTCAGGTCACTGCCAGAACAATGACACATTAAAATACACACCTTAGAGAGGAATAATAGCAGTTGAGGAAACACAGTTGTGAAAATATTGTGATTTAATGTAGGAGAGGAATGGCATTTTAGCTTTGGAGTTGACTGACCGTTCTGTGATTAACCAAATAATCCTAATGTCCTTTTGGCATTAATATTCATAAAAGTTGTTTTATGTGGTTGATTACTGTGTATTCTCTGTATGACGATTGTAGTTTTATTGGCACATTGAAATGTCTTCAGTTAATAGCACACTTTGGGGAGGACTACTAAAGAGGTGTTTGGCTAGGGTAATCCATAAAACTTATTCTGGTTCTTCATATTTAAAATTATTAAACCAGGTTTTATTCAGGCAACCTTTTGACAAACTGCAGTGGAAAGCATTCATCAATCAGCTGTCTTGACTCTTAGGTAAAAGATGAAAATATGTTGTTGTAAGGTGATTTTTTTTTTTTTTTTCTTTCAGGCAATTGTACTTTGTTTTCGATTGCACTTCACAAAAGATAATATCACAAATAACACTGCAGCAGCTACAGTGCGGCAAGTAGTTACTGTTGTATTTGAGAGAGTGGTTGCTGAAGATGAACGATACAAAGGTGGGCATACTTCTTACTCTGCTTGCTTGTATTAACCTGTTTTTAGGACACACATAAAATGTTTATGTTTTTTCAGATAAATAAGTAGTAAGAGGTCTACAAAAGTTATAAAAAACCAACCCCACAGACATTATTCATTTTTACTGTCTTTTATACATTTATCTGTATTCAAAGGAGATTAAATCCTTAACCATTGTGTTGGTGCAAGTCAGTACAGCAGTATATGAAACCTAGATTTTTTTCAAGCTGCAATAACTGGTCTTCAGGTTAGTATTGTGAAGGTGTCATTTAAGATGAAGATAACTTAGCTTACTGAGTGTGAAATACATGGCAGTATTAGTTTTGAAAAGAACTTCTTTGGAAAGAAAGGGTTGGTATTGGTGATCCTTGGTTATTTAATCTAATGTTTATTTCTGTAGACATGATAAGTTGCAGAAGAATTACCTGCCCATTCTTCCAGAACCTTTTTGTAAGAACACTTCATGCATACTTAGTTTTCAACAGTTCCTTTCTTCACAAACTGTTTTTTGTTTTTACACAGATACTATTGACCAGCCAGTTGCAGTTCAAGGAAATAGTAACAGAAGATCTGTCAGTACACTGAAGCCATGTGCTAAAGATGCATATATGCTTTTTCAGGTAGTTGGGGAGCATATATTTATACATTTGCAGTTATGATTGGGTGCTTCCACATCTCTGTAAGAAATTTCAAAAATTTGCTGTTGACATATTGACAAGGTCCTTAACCAGAGCCTCAGTCTTTATGTGAATTTATTGTAAATGGCAACGATGTTCTGTATCCCAGGGGGATGATTGGAAAATTAAGACAAAGAGGCGTACAAAAATGTTTTACTATAAATCTTAAATAATAGCTATGCATGCATGTCTGCATTAAATTTAAGATTCTTTCTTCTGTGAGCCAAACATTGCTACTATAGTTCAGTCTTGCTTCTTGTGCTTGGTATTGTATATTAAAGTTGAGTATGCAATGAAAAGTAGTAGTTGTATTCATCACACCGATAAAAATCTTCTTGACTTGGCAAATTCGCTGGTCTTGAGATATTTTTGAGGGCAATTGCTACAAGGATACCAGAAAAGTTTAAAATGTCTTTTACAAAGTTTTTTTGATTAGTAATTTATGTAAAAGAAGTATTTGAGGAAAGATTATGTTGAAATTGGAAAATTACTCATTAAAAAGGAGGGAGAGAGTGTAGATTTTGTTGTAGACTCAGAAAACTTATACCGGTGACAGGACTGTGCAGAGAATGTAAATGTTATTGTGTTTCTTTTTAAGGATCTTTGTCAGTTAGTTAATGCTGATGCTCCCTACTGGCTTGTGGGTATGACAGAAATGACCCGGACATTTGGCCTTGAACTTCTTGAGTCAGTCCTCAATGACTTTCCACAAGTGTTTTTACAAGTGAGTAGTTCTTGGAGGGAAAACAGGGCTTTTGTTCACATGTGTAGAAAAATTTACACTTCATTAACTCTTTAATTTAGTCTGAGTACTGCTTTTCAAAAGGACTTGCAGCTTTTACATGTTGGGTTTTTATGATAGAAAAGTACTGTGTGCTTTTTGTCTATTTTTTTCTATTCACATACACTTCATTTGTGTTTGTGCACTTCGTAGAGCACATTGTACTCAGTTTCACTTTTTGTTTTGCCATTTATATCTCCTCCAAAGAGGCATTTTCTTACCTTGCATGATTTATGACAGCTCTGTAACTTAGTTTGTGACATTGTTATTTCTACAAAAACATTAACTTCACCCCACTTGCAAAGCAGCAGAAATGACAACAAATGGTGTACCTCTATTGCATATAAATGCACCATGATTCTACAGTAACACATTATAGCAGACAATAACTAAATTAAAAAATTACATATATAATAAGTGATGTATTAGCAGCCAATTTCAATTTGCCGAATACAAGAAGAGGGGTGCATGGTATGAACCCAACCATGTAATTTCATCATGTTTTTTGGTAGCTTTACAATGCTGTATGCTGTTCTTCCTTTTCATTTCCTGAGCATATAATTTATACCAAGATTTACATGACTTCAGAGTGCTTGATCATAACAGTAAATGTAAATAAGACGCATAAGCAGAGCTACTGGTAGTAATTAAAGAATATCTGCTTATAATTTGTTCTGTTTTCTTTTTCAGCATCAGGAATTCAGTTTTCTTCTTAAAGAAAGGGTATGCCCTCTTGTTATAAAGCTCTTCTCCCCAAATATCAAATTCAGGCAAGGTTCCAGCACATCATCTTCCCCAGCACCGGTGGAAAAACCATACTTCCCCATCTGTATGCGTCTGCTGAGAGTAGTTTCTGTTTTGATTAAGCAGTTTTACAGTTTGCTGGTAAGAATATGTTCAAATATTCTTCATGCAATTTTGTTTTTCTATGTATATGCCAGTACTCTGATCAGTAACAGTATTAATTAGTTCTTGGGAAGTGTTGGTGTATACAGAGGGAAGAAAGTCTAAATATTCTTTTCCTCCTATGTGTATTTGTGTTTTCATGTATTCTACATGTATGATTTTATTAAACATGGGCTTGTATAAATTCTCAGAGTAGATTAGCTGTTGTCTCTTCTGTACCTGACTTTTTCAGTTAAGGTTTTGGGAACCTTTTGATCTTCTTACGTTGTTTGCCTAGCTCTAGATAATGTTGATTGCTGTGCCTTGTTAATAATTGCTAAGAGGCTTTTGACTTGTGTTGCTAAAGCTGTTAACAGAATGTGCATAAAAACACGTGTTCAGCTGTTCTTACCTCCTGAATTTTAGGTATTTGCTAAAAGAAGATTTCCATTTAATTTGTTTACTGTAGCACATGCAAGAACTTTACTGCAACGTCTGTAAAGAATTTAACTCCTTCAATGTGATTACATATGTAGTATTAGCTTGGCAAAAATATTATGATCATCAGGTATGTTTTTTGTGTAATTTTGAGTAAATGCTTGTTGAAGGGGTTATTTAGATCCTGTGCAAAACATTCTGGGATAGGACTCCTAAGATGAAACATGTTTTTTGGAGGAAAATATTTTGTAGGAGGCTTTTTCTTTTAATGTAATGGCTATAAACTGTATCTTTTAGGTGACAGAATGTGAAATCTTTCTGTCATTGCTGGTCAAGTTTCTGGATGCAGACAAACCACAATGGCTAAGAGCTGTTGCAGTAGAATCTATTCACAGGCTTTGTGTGCAGCCTCAGCTATTAAGGTATTAAATATATTGAGTTTCACTTTCACATAAAACTTAAGAAATAGTTTTATTTTTCTTTGGTGGAAAATGCTTCCTAAAACATTATAAATATGTACAAACTTAAATGCATAAACTCTTCAAGATAATTTTTTATAAAGAATTAGGCAATGCATATTATCCAGGAAGGGCTTGAATTATAATTATTTGAGTATTACAAACCCTTTCTGTCTTACCAGTGTCAAAGGAGCATTTACCTAAAACTAAAGTTTATGATCCACCTAAATATTTGCAGTTAAAATGTGCTTTTAGTCTACAGTTGGTTGGGGGTCTGAGGGGGGGGCGGCGGGGGAAGTTGCTGTTAAAATATGCTTTTAGTCCCTAATTTGTCAAATATTTGTTACATTTTATAAAATACTTTCCAGGTCATTTTGTCAGTCATATGATATGAAGCAACATTCCACTAAAGTTTTCCGTGATATTGTGAATGCACTGGGGTCCTTCATCCAGTCACTATTTCTTGTACCAAGCACAGGGAACACATCAGCAACACCAAGCCAAACTGGTAAAGACTTGTCCTTACTGTAATTTTAATTTTCTAGCATTTTCTTGTAATAATAAATTCTGAATTGATTCAGTATGTATATTTAGCTTTGTCCATTACTGTACTTATGTGTTCGTTGAGGTGAAAAGCTAGCGTGGGACAAACTAATGTTTTCAGGTCTGGTACAACAGGAGATTTTATCTACCTGTATTGTGGGGAAGATGTAGCCCCCAGTAAGCAGAGCAGTGCTCCTGCATGTGTATCTGCTTTCTACAGCGACCAAGCTCCTTGGTTCACAACTCTTCTGAGGGAATTATTTCTAATTTCTGACAGCCAGGGTTTTGGCATTTCATTAGGTCTATTTTTATTTCTATAAGTAGAAACAGTCTTCCTGTTAATGCCTTTACAGGTGTTTACGTATGAGTTAAGGTTCTCTGCTTCTTCCCATGGTTCTGGAAGCAGATGCCTCAGGAACAAACAACACAAAAATAATTTCTAAGGGTGTCTTTTGACGTGACTTCTTAAAAAAGATAATAAACAGATAAACAAAGTAGAATTATTATCTATCATACCTACTATTAAATTAATAAACATTACAAAGCCTGGTTTTAGATTCACACCTTCCAGGGTTCACTCATGAAGTCTGAATTCCAAGTTGGTGTTAGCATTGATAACGTGAAGAAATTTGTGTCAGTAGCTGTTCTTCAATAGCTGTCTGTACGGAAGCAGGCAGAGCACTTCTACTAGTGTTATTTCTGGGTTAGTTTAATCCACTTAAGGTAAATCAGAAAAGCACTTCTAATCGTGTTAACACGCACATATAAGAAGCCATTCTAAAGTACTCATTCACCTGAAAACTTACATTTTGCCTTCATGGGAAACAGCACTGCAGTAGGGTCATACCCTTAGTGTTGCTGCTGTTTCTCTGGCTTTTTGTTCCAGTTTTTTTTTCTCCTTTACCTTTTCACTTCTTCTTTCTGCTTGAGTGTTTATCATGTCTCTTTCTCATGCATTTATCTTTCTGCCTGTTTTCCTCCTATGGCTATACTCGAAGACCAGATCAATGCAGCATAATTTTAAAACTGAGTCTCCTAATTATAACGATAGTCCTGTCATAGCAGGCTCTTACGCACCTGTAGTTGGATTTTTAGCCTCAGTTTTGCAACAAGCCGGTTGTTTCATAGGAGAAGTTGAAAGCTGCATCTGCCTAAGTTTTGTGTCGCTTTTATTATACTGGTGTAATGTAAGCCTTTTTACCACTTTAAGGAGTGATGTTGATATAAAAATAATTGTGTATGTCTGACTGCTCAATGGGATCACAGAAAATGACACCAGTGTAACTCTGTATGTGCTAGTGGCAGTGTTTGATTAACTATTTCCATTTAGCAGTATGATTTTGTTGTTTCAACCTGTTAAGCTTTACTGTGTTAAAGTGTATACATAGGCTTCTGTGTGTATTCATATTGCCTAAATTAATCATTTAGTCTCTCTACATATTAAAAGCAAGCACACCAAAATGGCCATTATTACACTGATGTATTAGGTGCTGTGAGTCACCTTCTTGGGGACTCTGCCCTTCTCTCCCCATTGTCTGTACAGAGAGAGTCTGAACTTTGTGATACCTACTCCTAGTAAGTATACACCTCCTTCTATATGTAGGAGGTGTATATATACAGCATTCCTTGCCCTCTTATCTGCTTTTTTGCTTTTTAAATTGGAACCAAAATTTGTTCCCTCCTAGCTGTTGGTTGGCACATTGTCAGCTCTTCCCTGATGTGGTTTGTTTTCCTCTACCTTGGCATGGGACAGATTCAAACATTGCGGTTCTCTTTGAGTTTCTTCATGTGGCTTTTGCATTTCTGATATATTTAAAGTTTCTGGTGATCATTGTCTTGGAATGATTAACTTCTTTCCTAGTACGGACTTCTAGATGCAACTATTCAAATAACCCATAACTTTAAAATATCAGTCTTTACATCACTAAAATATATATCCTTTTATCGAAACCGTGTAAGTTTAGGTGTTCCATAGAATGTTATGAATGCTGCTATACGTTTCACAGAAACATTTTATTCTGACTGAAAGTAAGGAAGTTGGCATCAATCAACTGTGCCTTTTAAATTAATTACTTTGCACATAACATCATGTTTTAGACAGCAGAGGGAGCTCAAAAATAGTTTTTTGTGTTGGTGGTGGTTTTTATTATCAAGCATTCTCAGATTAATCCGTATTTCTCAATTTAAAAATTAAATATAGAAAAAGGATGTTTGCTGATAACTAAAATTAGATCGGTTAATTTTATCACTTTGTTTTTCTGAACAGGAAGCAATGCATCGGGGAATACTGGCTCAGCACAAACGAACCCAGGAGTGCTTGGAATGGGAGGAGGTGCAACTGTATTACCTGCCTTTGAGTACAGAGGCACTTGGATACCTATCCTGAATGTAACAGTACAAGGCAGTGCTAAAGCTACCTAGTAAGTACTTCTGTCTTTTTGAAAATGTATGTAACAAATATTTTTATTTCCAACTTGATGGCTTGAGGATTTTTTTTTTAATTAGTGTATGTTGAGGTCTTCATTTCATGGGCATTGAGGTATATTATGGATTTTCTTTTTGTTGGTGCCATGAAGTGTTCTGATTTTTCACTATTTTGTCTGAATGCTCTGGATTCTGATCCAAATATCCCCTATGGCTTTAGCATCTGTTGGATTTTTTTTTTTCCTACCATACTTTTAGGCCTCACTAACAATAATATAACAGTTTTAGACTGTTTTTTGCTGAGTTGTGTAATGGCAAACATTAGGGGCATTAAGCAAATGGGACATCAGTGGGAGTGAAGAACAGCTTTCTTACACCATCTTTACTGTATTTACAGGTTTTATTGAACAGGATATTGTGGTATATGACCTATGTATGAAGGTTAGACTGTGAATGCTTCTTAGAATGACCAATTATTTTATCATGACTTGGTATGATGGAGGTTGTTTTCTCAGTTTAGAGCTGTGAATACTACATTACTTTCGAAATAGTGGAGGTTTTTTTCATGTCAGTCATGACCATTGAGGATCAATCTCTTCCAAATTGGAAATTATTTGTACAGCCTGTGAAATTTTGGCATACTAATACTCAGTGAAATCAGCAAATAGCCTGTATCTCAATATTTTTTTAAGGTGGAAACTCCTTTATCTGCTTTTGAAATGCAGAGGGACAAATGCATCCTCAGATTTTAGTAGTTCAACATGTATGTGTTGACTTGACTTTTTGTTCCAGTGGTCGCCATGAATGTTATTTTAGGTTACCTGACTGTTCTCAGGAAATGCAAATTTTTAACAGAAGTGGATGAAAGCTAATCATACTTTGACCAGCTACTAAAGCCCCCTGCTTTTCTTCCTTTTTGTTATTTTCTGTTCTTAACTGGCTCAAGGACATTGCAGCCACCATCATATTCTCCTGTGCTGCTCTGAGCTTGCTTGTGTCTTACCTTTTGATCCCTTCAGTGACTATGATTCCCTCTGAGTAATTTTTGCATTCTTTTTTTCTTCTGTGTAAGATCATGGAATTGTTGCTAGCATGTCTTGTCAGCAGTTTTTTTCCTATCTTGTACTTTTGTCTGTAGTCCCTGCATGTAAGAAGATGACTAACTGTAACTGTCGATTTGGGTCACATCCTAGCACTGATTCTCTCCTATTGCTGCCATTAGATTTTCATACAATGGCCACATCTTATACTTTTACACAATTATTTAATCGGAGATACAAATACAGAGCTAGCAGAGGCCTTTTTGCCAGTGTGGGCTTGTCTCTTCCCAGACCAATATGCCTTGTCTTCCTCTTTACATGAGAAAGTAAGTGTTTTTCAAAGGAATAGACGGACTATTCCAGATTTGTCATGGCCATTCCCGTGTAACTGTAACAACTCACTTCATTTATTCAGTAGTGTGCTTTCCTGTCTTTGAAAGTGAGAGTACATGACCTCTACCTCACAGGTATGTTGTAACTATAAAACCCATTAATAATTTTAATTAGTCATACATATATACACGCTTACTGTAGATAGAGGGTGAAATGTTGACCATTTGATTTACCTATACTGCCTATGCTCCTAGGTATCTAAGGCAGCCATCTTCAGGAAATTAGAGGTAATAACTGAAGTGTTACATGTTTAGGAGAAGGAAAATCCCTTGTGCAGAAAAGAGTGGTGACACTACAGTATAAAAGTGTCTTTGGTATACTGTAGCTGGAATGCCTAGCCTTTTTAAGAGTAGTTTGTAGAGCAAATGATGAAATAGTGGTTGTTGGGGTAGCAGGTAGTTTTTGTAACAGACTGTCTCCCCTTGTGTAGACACTGCTGCATGGCAGCTACAATCTGTTTCCTGTTGGATTTGTAACTCAGCAGTTCTTTATGTGCTTTTAAGGTAAAATATGAAGAAAAGTGGCAGTGAGGCTGCAGTTCCGGCACAGTGATGGTTTAATTGCATGGTTTTCAGGAGTGAATCATGTAGACATTTCCTCTTTGTACAAATAACTTCCATTGTTTACCTGTGCATGTAGGTGATGAATGTTTTGTCATACATTATCTAGCTATGACAGGCTTTTCCAGTCATATGGGCTCAAAGATAACAATAATGGAATGTCTGACTTGTTCTCAATTTGGTATAACTATATTCACATTATCATGACTTTCTGACCTATTTCCTCTGTTGTTCCTTGTGTTTTGCTGACGAGATTCTGTCGCAGTGGCTTTAAATAAAATAATAATATAAGTAGAATAATTCATTCAGTGATGCCTGCTTATATGTGTTAATACTTTAAAATATTTATTTGCAGATCTAAATACCATAATCAGGGTTTCTACCCTTTTGTTTACTGTTTTTAGTGACTCATTTACTTTTTTTCTTAATGACTTTGCCAAGAAGGTTATTTTCTTGAGTTGCTATAAATCTTGAAGGATGGTACTTGGGGCCTGTTTGTACTTAACATTTATTTGGAATCTTGGTTTTCTATTACTGTTTTTAATCACAGTGGTACTGTTACACACTTATTTGTTATGCTTTCAACTTTTTTAGTTTGGAAATGCTGGACAAAGTAGAGCCACCTACGATTCCTGAAGGCTATGCCATGTCCGTGGCGTTTCACTGTTTACTGGATCTTGTCCGTGGTATCACTACCATGATTGAAGGGGAGCTGGGAGAGGCAGAAACAGTCAGTCAAACCACAGCAGAGACAACTTCATTACCAGCACAGTCTTCAGAGCATCAAGACTTGCAGTCTATATCTGACCAATCAGAGCAGGAACAAGGTATATAAAATACAGTAGTTTTACATAAAGCAGGATTGGAATAGTTCACACTTTGTTGTTTAAATTTATTGTTTCTAAATCGTGTATTAAAACTTCTGATGAAGTGGGGGTTTTGGGGGTGTTTTTGTTAACTGTACAGCAGTAGTATCTCAAAAAAATATCTGATGTACTGCTATCCTATAGCACCTTAGCCACAGACTCCTTCCTTATGGTGTATTAATACTGGTTTACATGTATGTATGTGGGATGCAAGGGAGAGGTAACAGGCATTCTATTCTCTAGAACTAGTATTCTGTCTCCTGTGTCCTCAATACTGCTTACCACTGAGATCCAAGGTTGCAAGAGACAACATGACAACCTGAGAAACGTGGCAGTTACGACCGCATTAAAAGAGAAATGTCTTTCTAGTAACGAGGCAAAAAGATATTTTAATGGAGAGGTTTGAAATAAGATGGCAGTCGTTAAGGAAGAACTTCTTTAAAAGCAGAATAGGAACCGAGGCTTGTGTTTGTGCAACGTGTGAGGAGTCTGCGTGTGTATGTGAAGAAATGCTGGGCTTTCAGGAGTGGTTTGGGGGGCGGGAGGGATATCTTGGGGCTTGGGTTTAGGGTTTAGGGGGGCTGAGCTGGTGGCAGGAGGGAGAAGAGGGGGCTTTGTCCCGGGCGCGGCTCGGGAGCGTGGCGCTCTCCATGGTGCTGCAGGCAGCAGCGGCAGAGCCTGGAGCATGGTGTGGTGGGGTGGTAGACCTTTAATTTTTTCCTGATTAAATCAACGAAAAGGAAAAAATATGGAGAATTACAAATTCCAAGGGAGAGTATTCTTCCTTCACTGCAAAATTCCAGTGAGTTTCTTGTCCTACATTTATGCACTTCTGAATGATAATTTTTACCGACAAAGATTAAAAATAGCTATAGATACCTTTGTAATATTTTTGACAGGTAATTTAGAATAAGCATTGCCTCGGTGACATTTTCTACTTTAGCAATGTTACTTTAAATGCAACTGTTTAAATGGTACTGGTGTGAGTGTGTTTGTGTGTACACATGTATGTATCTGTGTAAACATATATATAAAACACACTTAAAGGGTGCAGTAGCAAGCATTTTGTTTGTGATATGTTTGAAAGTTATTAAGTAAAATACTGTTTTTCTGCTATAAACAAGTATATGTATTTCTTTCAAGTTAGCAGAGCTGTCTGGGAAGAAATGGTGAATGCTTGTTGGTGTGGTCTTCTGGCTGCTTTATCCCTCCTACTTGATGCAAGGTATTTGGTCTTTCATTTCTCTTGATTTTTCAAAGATGATATTCCCAGCTATATTTTGAACTGACTTTTGATACCGATCAAGTTAACAGTTGTATGAGAGAGCGGTGTTCATGGCACCTGAGCAGACAGGTTTGTGGGTTAGTGATGGCTAGACTGAGTGAGGGTCTGTTAAAGAGTAAATGACACAGAAATCTCCAGAAGTCTAGCATCAACCTTTCATGTATTTTAATATAGAACAAGTAATTACATTTTCAAAGGCTTGCATTTAAACGATTTAAATTATTTTTATTCCTTTCTACTTTGAATGTTTCAACATATTGAAGTGATTCTACCCATGTCCTGATTACTGTTGATAAGAGACTGAATAATGTCCCGGTACTTGTTACTACTATGCAGTCTTTGAAGTGGAAAAGCTGTTTGCTAGGTAATAACTTTGGTAACTTAATTGGCTCTTTCAAAGAGTCTTTTATTATCAAGCACCATTTTCTGAAATTAGTGTTAAATACCTCCTCATAGTCTTCTTTGTCAAGTCATTCAGAACTAAAAACTAATTGTATAGAAAATGGTTCTGAAGAATTGTGTTGATTGGTTATGCCTGCTCTTCAGTATTTATAGTATTGGCAGGTTTAAAGTATATTTTCTTATTGCTTTCTGTTTTGATTAGCTGCCTGCTTCTGTGCCATGGATTAATTCTTATTAAATCATGTGTACTCTTTCAGCACTGATGAAGCTGCCACTGAAAATATTCTAAAAGCAGAATTGACCATGGCTGCACTTTGTGGAAGACTGGGTCTTGTAACATCAAGGGATGCCTTTATCACTGCCATTTGCAAAGGATCCTTACCTCCTCACTATGCCCTTACTGTATTAAACAGCACAACTGCAGCTCTGTCCAGCAAATGTAAGTATATAGGTTTTCCTTAATTGTGTTTCCATGTGTTGTCCTCTAAACCCAAATTTTCTCAGGATGTGATTGCAAAGATATGCAACTACAGTCAGACAGGATCTAGACTGCCTGCTTTCCAGAACTGGTTAGTTTTGCAGCATCTGCAGGGTATCATTCTAGTCAACCTAAAACTTCCTGAATGCTTGGCATATGTCAGAAGTTCATATTCTAAGGAGATCCATCTGTCATCCTAAAGATCTGTTGGGATATGTAATTAAGGCATTCAAGTTCTGAAAAGGTCTCTGGGCAACTCGGATGCTGAAGAGTTGGCTAGAACATCCTGCGTTTGTGGTGCACTACAGTCTTTTCTACAGTTGTCTAGTACTTACTGCGTAAATGGAAGGTCTTAAATTCTGGGCTCTGTTCAGCTTAGAAGAGGTTGAATTAATGCTTCACACATCCTGAGAGAGTGTTGTACTTCATGGGATATGCCAGTTGAGAATGTACTCTGCTTCTAATTTTGAAAATGAATTACTGTGTTCCAAGAAATGCAACTACCTGGAGAATATGCAGATGGATCTAACATTAGACCTCTTAATATAAAACAAAAATACTGTAGTCTGGGGACAAGGACCAGCACCTTTACTCCAGCTCACAGGCTAATTGTATTATTAGATTGTAAGTCTGTGAAGTAGTACGCATGACTGAGCTACACGAATCTCTATGGAAATGAAGCAGTGAAGTTATTTTATATAGATTTCTCTTCTTTTTACAGGTGAGTTATAAAATGGGTGTGCTGAAGTCTTGTATTGGAAAAACATCACAACATAGCATTTATGACACCTTTATTTTTCTGAGTGCACTAGTACAGTGGCAGCACACAGTGATACCATTTATATACAATTTCCACAGATAACTGAGTTGAGACATAGTCTAATGCTCGTATCTTAGCACAGATATTTCAGTCTCAACATAAAATGCATGAATATATTGCAAGCAATATCTAATAGTTAGTGAGAGGGAGTAATTACTGGCTCCTTTAACTCCGTAAGGCAATGACATAATAATCTAAATACAACTAAAGGTCTCAAAGTTAAGTTACCTTAAAGCTAATACTACGAAAAAATTATCTGGACTGTGTTTGCCAGAAGGTGGTTGTTACTGCAAGTACTGGATTTTAAATTTATATTTTTTTTTCTTTCAATTTTCCTCTAGCATATTCCATTCAGGGACAGAATGTTCAAATGATCAGTCCCTCAAGCGAGTCTCATCAGCAAGTTGTAGCAGTAGGGCAACCCTTAGCTCTTCAGCCACAGGGAACAGTAATGGTAAGTACAACTTGCAAGTGATCTCATCCTGCTTAACTGCTTCTTTCTGCATCTCAATGTGTCTCGAAAATAGACAACAGATAAACAGCATTCTTACAAACAAAGGTTATCTTGAAATACTATTCTAAGCTTTTAATTTTGGACAGCCCTGGGCAGCAAAGTTCTCTAACTGTAAAGAACACTTACTGTTGTTTTTTATCTGACTCTTAGCTCAGCAGCTCCCATCCATTCTGTTTGAAAACTCCGAGGTCTTAGCTCTGTTATGTGCCTGTGTGTGAAGGTTCACTTACATGGCTTTTTTTAAGATAGACTCTGATTTTGTGGAGAAGATGCACTTAAAGCTGAAGTACTTGAACTTGTGTCTTTGATAATAACATGCAACTGGGAGGAGAGAGCAGTGATCAAATCATACTCAGCCCCAGCAAGATAAGACTGAAAGAACAAGGAGAGATACTGAACTACTTCTCTAAAAAAAGATACATGGCACTAGTGCAAACAAAATGTAATCTTTAAGCTATTTAGTAAAAAATTGCAAGTTTTCTAGAAACACTGTTATTGTAGACAATAAAAATTATGTGGTGGTTTGGTTTTGTTTGTTCTTTTTTTTTAGCTGACTTCAAAAAATATCCAGTGTATGAGGACATTACTCAACTTAGCTCACTGCCATGGAGCTGTTCTTGGTACATCGTGGCAACTTGTCCTGGCTACTCTTCAGGTATAATAGGAAATATTTATGCCTTGCTTTTATGCCTTGCTTTTTTGCCATAATTTTGTTTTGAGTTTTTATAAGAGCAATAGAAGAAGCTTTGATTCTATTCATGGTGTGCTTTGAATTGCCTTGATTAAGTACTGTAGCATTTCCCTTGAATTCTGTTTTGCTGGAAGGCTGCTGGCTAGCTCAAGTACAATGTTAGTTTCCTCTCTGCCTGAAAAGGCTTTTCTGCTGAAAATGATCCTTTTATATTTCAGCATCTTGTATGGATTCTGGGACTGAAGCCTGGTGTTGGGGGTGCATTAAAGCCTGGAAGAGCTGTAGAAGGGCCCAGCACAGTAAGCATGATTGTTCATTTTACAGTTAATGATTATGCAGTATTTTCTATTGCAATCTATAATAAACATTTCTGTCTTTTTTTCCAAGGTTCTGACTACAGCAGTTATGACAGATCTGCCAGTTATATCCAACATACTTTCAAGGCTTTTTGAAAGCTCACAGTAAGAAACCTTATCTTATAATTAAAATAATGTGTGTATATCAAACTTGGCAGTGTTGTGATAGCTGTTATTTTTCAGGTACCTTGATGATGTGTCTTTACATCACTTAATAAATGCCCTTTGCTCCTTGTCTCTGGAAGCCATGGATATGGCCTATGGAAACAATAAGGTATAAAAAGAGTTCTTACTTTCTTTTTAGATGTTTTTGTGAAATAGGCAGAAGACTTGTGTATTTATCCTTTAAGCTAACTATTTCTAATATTAAGACAATAATACATTCAATACTCTAGAGTAAAAAAACAAATTATGAACCAGAGAATGTGTTGTCTGTAATGGTTCATACAGTTACTAAATTCTCTGAGCATTCTCATTGCGTTCCTGCTGTGTTTTTTGTTAACTAAGGAATGTCATGTGTTTCCATTAATCAGATTATGGGTGGATAAAACTTTAAAAGCCCTTATAATTTCAGAGGTTAGGGCTTCTGAATAGCACAGTATGTTCTGTGAGGTGCTCATTTTCATTTCAGTTTTCTTTTATAATACATTTCAGAAAAAGCCTGACAACATAGATATTAAAAAACCCTGATAATTCATATTTACTTGGAAAAATTATAGTATTCCTGCCAGCTTCAGTAAACAGCCTTTAGCCCAGAAAGGTTAAAGACCTGGTGATTGAATACAATTGAGTGTATGTTCTCCTAGTCATAATATAATCCCAGAGGAGAGTTTCTAAACATTTTTTCTAGATCTATTACACTAGAGATAATGATGACAGAAAATATGCTTTATAATATTTGACAATTACAGCAACAGAGAATGCTTCAAAATTAGCAAAGTTTGTGTTTAAAATCAGTTGAAAATGAGAATAAAAGATCAGCAGAAATGGGAACAGAGAGTAATTCTAGCACAACAGTCATTTTGACTGTATGTTGATGTAAAAAAAAAAAAGTAGTTTATCACAAATATTTGCATATGTATTTGATTAATGGGAATTTATCATATTCCTGCAGGGCATTTATGAAGCCGATGGAAGATAAAGCACAAGGGGATTTTAAAATGAAATATTCTATATTGTTTGTTCATATATAATTTTAACTTTAAAGTTGTGATGGGAAAAAGGCTATTTTGCTAGTAAAATATGTTATAAAACTGGTTGGAGGGAGGACTATATAAAAATGAGAGTTTTGAAAGGAATATCAGTGCTCTGGTTATTATCAAACTTGGAGAAAACGATATGTACAATTATGAAAGAAGTATTCTTCATGCTATGCTGTTGCTACCCCCTTGTGGCTTCTGATGAAGTATTGCAGATCCTGTGGAAACTTCTCAGCCATGCTACCTAAACTGTTGTGACAGCGTACATAGCCTACAAAGCACAGTACTTAAATGAGATTAGTTGCACCTTAATTTATAAATTATAATGTAGAACAAGCTCTGGCGTTATCTGAGTTATCTCAAAGTCATGTGTTCAAATTCTGTTTTATTAAGGAACCATCGCTTTTTGCTGTTGCTAAATTACTGGAAACAGGACTAGTTAACATGCACAGGATTGAGATTCTTTGGAGACCTCTTACCGGTCATCTGCTGGAGGTAACTAATTGCTTTTATCAGTTGTACTGGAACTTAGTTGTTATTAACAAAGATCCTGTGGAAATGCATTTTTAAAGTGTTATTTTTTTAAAAAATTCAAAATTGTATTTACATGTTTTGGTTTATGCACTTTGTTTTTGCAACTTAAATGCATCACAATTTCATTTTAAAAGTGAATTTATGTATTTAAATGCCAATATTTTAGTATCTCTTATTGACTTTGTCTTTATGGTGCTGTCAGTCTTCATAAGTTTTAAACACGGCAGTGTTTAAAATGATCAATTTATTGTACTTCATATATGTGTTATAATTAAGGTAACACAAATAGGTTTCATTTTGGATTCACATAGTACAAATATCTAGGAAGATTTTAAGATATGGTTTTGTGTCCTTACGGGATAGATTGAAGCCTTTAGGTTTACTAACAAAGGGTTTGTTTGTTTTAAAAATGTTTAACCTAACATTTTGAATGGTCCCTTTAAGAGAATACTGTACAAATACAAAAATAGGTGTCATAATCCTATTCCAATTTCATAAGTGTTTTCACTTCAACATGAAAAATATGCTCCATCAAGGAAAAAAAATCTTAAATTTTGAGTCTGAAACTAAGAGCAGGTGATGGAATGTAATTATAAAGTTTTAATTCTCTACACAGATATGTGAGGAGTGAAATGGAAGAACAGGGTTTGATTTAAAGTGGGTAACGGAGAAAGTTTTCCAGAAAGTATCAGACACTTCCTTAGAGTGAGTGGATTATTTCAAAGAATATCAAGGATTGGCCATCTCTAACCTTATTTATGGAGGTCATCTCCACATAATCTTCTATCTAGGAGAAGAAATTTGGTTACTTAGGGTTTCAAAGACTTAAAGCACAGGCATCTCTTTCTCTTGTCTTTTTTCCCCCTCCAAGACAATAGCATTCACCATCCACATCTTGAGACTCTGTGTTTCCATCTAGCAAGCAGTCTGTTATCCATTGTGGGTATTTGTAGGAAATACACAGTCTATTTCAATTTCTTTTAAAGTACTGCCTTATTTCCTTTTAAACCTAAGTTCATCGAGGTACAGTAAGGAAGGATAAAACACCAGCTTCAAATTCAATTAAATGCAACCTGAGGGAAGAATTTGTTCTCTGTTTCTGGAACTGATTATCTGGTCAGATTCAGAGCATCATGAAGTAGTTTAAATTCTCTCTTTTTTTATATAAGGTAACAAAAATATAAATAATTCAGGAGGGTAACTATTTCTTGTCTGCATTTTTTAACATTAAGCTGGCTCTTCTGCAACGTCCTCCTTTTCAGTTTTGCTAGTGGCTGATAAGGGAATGGTCTACCAACCAAAACCATAAGCCTTCCTTATGATCCTGCCTTTGACTTTGATTCTGGATTCTCACACCATCTGAGCTAGGGCTGGAAGGGTGGGTGGAAATAATTATGTAGAGGTCAATGAAACTAGACTTACCTTCTTTGTTTGAGGGTAATGTATCAGGTATGCGAGTACAGTTCATACTAGCTACCTATGCAATGGATTTGCACAATGTTTTTAATTATTCTGTTCTAAAAAAAGCAATTAGCAAAACTATTAGATTTACATAATTAGGAGACAAAGAGAAATGAAGACACACGTTTGAAACTTAAGCTTGAAATAGTGTTCGCTATTGTTTTCTCAAGTTTTTGAAATAATGGAGTGTAAGGCTTATTGTACATTCACTATGTAGCTACTTTTTGTATTTGAGAGTACAGAAGAGCAGATGCTTTCTGTGTTGGCTACTGTCATGCTTCCTCACTTGATTATGTTAAGCAGTGTGTGAAAGATGAAACTTTGAATTTACAGTAGCTTAAGGCTAAGTTAAACTTGAGAGTTTCAGGCATTCTTTTAAGAGTTGTTTGGTGCTTCTTAATCAATCATTATCTGAATTAACAGTTAGTATATTCATTTTGGAAAATATACTGGCTTGAACTGTGGTTTTCATTATGTTTCTTTCTGTGTCTTTCACTGCTTCCTGTTGCTTCCTTATTCAGAAGGTATGTCTGTCCAAAAGATAATAATTTTTTTTACTATTAAACCTAATTTTATTACTTAGAGATTTGTTGTATTGTTGTAAAAAATTATTATAATATTGTATGTAAATTCTAATATAATTAAAATATCCATGTTATGTGTGTGTGTATATATATTACATATATTCAAATCTTGGTTAAATAAAAGTGACTTTAAACAAAACGTTGTTTTCAGGTCTGTCAGCATCCAAACTCCAGAATGAGAGAATGGGGAGCAGAAGCTTTAACTTCTCTCATTAAAGCAGGACTGACATTCAGCCATGATCCTCCATTATCTCAAAATCAGGTAAAGTAAGTTTAAGAGCAGCTGCTTTCCTCCTTTTCTGGAACTTAAAATGAACAGAAATCAAAATCTTCCCTAGAGGAAGTTTTCTACAGTTCAGTGAATAGGAGGCATTCATAAAATAACTTTACTATTGAGTTTATAAAGCCTACAGCTGTAACATTCAGGTGTAACTATTGAGAATCACCTCATACATTCTAATGAACTTCCTTTTTCAAATACTTAACAAAGAGTGGTGATGCTTGCATATTATGTCCATTTGTTAGAACAAATTATGGATCACCCTTATGAGTGCAAAACAATTCCAGAATATTTAGAAGTATACATGTGATGTGGTGGCAGGAAAAAAATGTATTGCCTAACCTTCTAAATCACAGCTATTCAGAACATTTACTAATAAAATCTTCTACTATTTTTACTGAGATTCAACGGATAGTTTTTTTAAAGGTCTCTTTGTTAGGAAGCCAAGTCTAGCCCTGCTGGGTGAACATAAAGTTGCATGATGGTTTTTATGCAACTGTGACAGCATGCTGCTACTTGCTCAGGGACCTGGAGAACAGGTGGGGAGGAAAAAAAAAGTTGTTAGGAAGCCAAGTCTAGCCCTGCTGGGTGAGCATAAAGTTGCATGATGGTTTTTATGCAACTGGAGAACAGGTGGGGAGGAAAAAAAAGAAAATGTAATTTCCTGGTGGGATCATTTATAAACAGGTTTTTTTAGAAAGGCCAGTCTGACACTGGATTTGAGCATCTAGTGAATGGGTTACTGAATTCATTTAATGAATCTTCAATTGGTACTGTATGTTTTCACTTATACATAAAAATAATTAAAGATCAGTGAAATTTTAGCATCCTTAATATGCTTTATTGTTTACTTTTAGAGACTGCAGTTGCTTTTATTGAATCCACTAAAGGAATTGTCAAGCATAAGTCATCCTGATATCAGGATCAAACAGTTGGAGTGTGTGCTACAGATTTTGCAAAGTCAGGGTGACAGCTTAGGACCTGGTTGGCCATTGGTGCTTGGAGTCATGGGAGCAATCCGAAGTGATCAGGGGTAAGTGGTGGAAAGAAAACTTTAAAATCATGTAAGATAAGAACAATAGAAAGAACTCTGTTTTTATTTTCTTACTTTAATAACCACTCCAATAGTAACCGTGATTTTCATTGTCAGTTTTAGCCTTTGAACAATTTTACTCAACAAAAATACAGTTACTAGTTTTTCCTTTAGTACACTTTCATTTTACTGAATTAATCTTTCAGAAGACCAGAGTATTGTTCCACTCTACACTTTACTGTGGTCAGCATGCACTATACACTGAGGAGTACTCCTTGTGCCAATTCATTTGATCTTAACCATCTGCTGGACACATCTCTGGTGCTTGCAGATAATTCTGTATGACTTAGCTCTTGCTAATGGTTCCTCTGTTGTTTCTTTTTCTTCTTAAATCTTTGTGTAGTCTCTAGCGTGTGTCATCTTCTGAATGCTCTCTCTCTTTTTGTTGAAGCCTTCCTCCCTAAATGGCTGCTGGTAGCACAAGGGTGGAAGATTATTTACTTGCTGTGGGTGAACCCCTTGACTGACTAACACAGCTGACGGTTGCCAACAGAGGGGGACTGTTACTGGACTGGTCCTTTTGCCCACAAGGGAAAGTGAGAGGTGAAGTTGTAAGGAGTTTGTTTTAAATGAGCAGTGAGATGAACATGGCCCTGGAACTGTAAACACCAAGAACTATACCCACACACTTAGACCATATTATTCCTTCTTTGATGATGGTCAAGACTAGCACCAGGACAGGTCAGCAAATAACTCTGGTATCAGAAGACTTTACCTTGGCATCTCTCTCCTTTTGCCCTACCGTAGCTTCTGTCTTCTGGCCATATGGAGACCTCCTAAAGCCCCTTAAAATGCTTGTTCTTGTACCAGTATTGCTTGCTCTGGGAGTAGTGTTCACCAAAATCCTCAAGGATATTGGCATTCTTGGTTGTGAGCATCCTCTTTTTGGTAACAATGCTTCCTTTGGTACCTGCTGTTTCCGCACTTGGTGCAATGTGCTCTGTGGTTCCTACATGCATTTGATTTTCACTGTAGTTGTTGATGGATGAGAACCAACACAGATTCCTTCTCAAGACAGTCTTCAAATCCTTTTACATTGCAAACCCATACCTCACTAGTGGATACCTCAAGATGTTACTAAGATCTTGTGTTACAGCGTAGTCTTCTTCTACAAAGCATACAGAATAATTTACTTTGTTTCAACTACGTAGCACTGTTTGCTACGTAGCACACCATATCAACTACGGTAGGAAAAAAAAATGAAGTAAACCTCCTTTTCCTTGGGAAACAACAGAATTTCTTGCCTCACTTACAGCTGTGAGCACAAGATGCGGGCGCTATTATCATACTTTAAATATAAACTTAGTGACCATGAGACTTTCTTCACAAGTGTCTTCCCTGTGGTCAGTGAACGTCCAGGATTCCAGGACAGAAATTCATTTACCTTCCAGGAGAACTTCTTGCCAGACTGCTATAAATACAGAAGATGCTATTTTGAGAGCCAGTGATACTTCGGTCACTTCTTGGTTGCACAGTACTAGCCTGCCAAACAGAAGGAAGACTGATGAATTTTTCAATGGGATGCCCTTGTTTATTTTAAAGATAGATAAAGCCCTATATGTTCTTAAGTTCTCAAGCTACGCTTAAGTTTCTTGCATTTATGTTTACCTTTTTGGTGGCCACCTATAACATTAAAGACAGTTTTACATTTTGAAGAGCTGTACTGCTGTTGCCACTTGCTTGAAGGACTTTGAAACCTTTCTCCAAACACATAGTAGTGTGGGACATAAACTGGGAAATGAACTGTTTTGAATTTGTTCTGGTGGCCTCACATTTGAAGATTAGAAAGATAGGTTACTTTCCCATTACCTCAGCTCTTCAAAATGAGAGTGTAACTATACTTGCATTTCCTGCCTGCTTCCCTTTTCTCTTAGGCTCCTTAAAGGTCATGTACCTCGGGAACTTTGTAGTGGAGACAGTGCTGCAGCAGTTTTAGGTGTGTTTCACTTTATAGACTCCTGTAACAAATATGGGGGAAAGCAGTGTGTGAGCATTTCCTCCATGAGTATAGCCATGATAAATCCTCTGATCTTATGTGGTATGCCTCTCTGCAGTGTGCATCATATTAGAGAATTGTTAGTTATACCATTATTGTCCATGTGAAGTTTCTTGTGCATTCCTCTGACTTCCATATCATGTTGGCTGTTACGATACAGTGGAAATGGCCCACCTATGATTTCCATTTTGAATTAATTGAAAAAAATATATTATTTTATCTACAATTCTGAAATATGTAACTGACGTATCTGTATTCTGATTTTTTTTCCTGGGAGATACATATTCTGAAGGACACTAAGTTTCTGTATTACAAACCTTGGGAATTTTTTCTTTTGCATATTCAACATTAAGTATTAAAAAAACTATAGTGAAATTTAAATGCAGCTTCCCTATTTTCTGTTATCTACACTCCACCCCTCCTTTTGATTCCTTCATTTTGTCTCTCACTAAACAAGGTTTTAGTTATTGATGACCTTGCTGCTTCCATTCCATACTACATTTTTATTTTATATTTGTATTCAGAATTTAATTCTGAAGGCACAGTATTTATTAAAGCTCTATTTAATGGCAGATATTTTGAAAAGCTTTTATCTAACAGAATATAGTAATGAAGTGAGTAAGACTACCATTATATTAGCATGCATCTTCCCTAATAAAAAAAAATACATTTTGCCCACTTGTTTGACATACTTTAAGTAATTTGTAACTGTTGATACACAAAATTGTTCTTACTCTTTGGAAGATTATCATGCTCAAACTTAAGCTTTGTTTTGTCAATTGTGTCTTTTTTAGAATGTTTTAGCTGTCACATTTGAACTAAGAAGTCCTAGAACTATAGAACAGAGAAGTGAACTTTACTATATAAAACTAGCTGTGAACCGCTGGAGAGTCTAAACTTCAACTTCACTAGCTAGTTAACACGGACTAAAATACTTCATTGAATTTGAAGCTTCAACTTAACGTTGTATCTCAAAAAACCCTCTAGTTGAAACATTTTAAATGTTGTAAATTCATCTCAAAAACATTAAATGTTTTTTCTTTTTTTTGCTAATGCTATCTGCTGAGGTATTGTATTCAAAACATTCCTGTGCTCTTGAAGAAATTTGAAATGAGTGTGTGTGTGTGTTTTGTTTTTTGTTTTGTTTTTTTAAGAGAGTCCTTAATACGGACTGCATTCCAGTGTCTTCAGTTGGTTGTGACAGACTTTCTTCCAACAATGCCATGTACTTGTCTACAGATAGTTGTTGAAGTTGCAGGAAGCTTTGGACTTCACAATCAAGAGCTAAATATTAGCTTAACTTCCATTGGTTTGTTGGTGAGTTTTATATTAACCTATACTGATGCTGCTTCTGGCTTTCATTTTCTTCTCTTTTTTTCCTGTTTTCTGGGCTGGGTTTTTTTTTTTTTTTTTTTGTAATGAAAGTTAATCTGTAGTCAGCTCTACAAATGAAAGCCAAAACCTATTTTTTGAGTTCTTAGTGAATTCCCATGCTGTCATTTGGAAACATAGGTAAATTGAGTGAGCACAATTTATCTTTAATCTGCATGACTCCAGGGTTAGGTAAAGAAATAGTATTGTGTTGTAACCATGTTCATCAGTATCTTATTTTTAATACATTGTTTCCCTTTCTAGTACTTCATGCAGAACTGGGGCCTAAAAGCTGAGGCTAAGAAAAATACTTTGTGCACCTTGCAGTATTTATGTGCTGATCTTCTTCCACGAGTGTTTTCTTGATGTGCTTTGCTAAATACTTTTAATGTCAAAACTTTTTTTTTATATATTTCATGATCATTAAGAGCATTATAATATTTGTATTGTACAACAGTGTATGTCTTATTTATTTTCTAGTGGAATATTTCAGATTATTTTTTCCAAAGAGGTGAAATAATTGAGAAGGAGCTTAACAAAGAAGAAGCAGTGTTGCAGAAACAGGCAGAAGAAAAGGGGGTGATGCTGAATAGACCTTTTCATCCTGCACCACCATTTGACTGTCTTTGGTTATGCCTATATGCCAAACTTGGAGAACTGTGTGTGGATCCCCGACCTGCAGTTAGAAAGAGTGCTGGGCAGACATTGTTTTCTACTATTGGTGCTCATGGAACTTTATTGCAACATTCAACGTGGCACACAGTAATATGGAAGGTACGATGTGTAAACTTCCCCTGAAGATTTTTTTAAATTGCATTCACGTTCTGGTAAACACTGACATGCTATTTTAATATCAGTTAACTAGTTTATTAAGGCTTTTTAAAGATAAGATATGGTGGCAGAAGTCTGATATCATCTTTTTGGGTTTGGGTTTTCTTTTCATGCTTTATTTTCTCTGGCCCTTAAAGCCTCTTCTGAAATGTAATTTTTGTATCTTCACCATTTCTTTCTTACTCAGGAGTTGTAATAAAAGGCTGCTCCCTTCTATGAAGATGAATGACTTCTTTGTGTGAAAATATGGTGACATTTGAGGGTCCTGTGACTGGATTGATCCGATATTAGATTGAGCTTTACTTTGTGCTCTGTTTTGGCTCTCTGATTTGAGAAGATCTGTCAAATGCCCTGTTCTAGGTCACAGTCATCCTGTTTGTGCCTTATGGAAAAAGTCAGGCTGTAGTTGAATCTGTTGCCTGTTGTACCTGTGAGGTATCTGAGATCCATCGGTTTTAGCCTTCTGTTAGTGCCAACACTGTTCTCAGTGGTTTTGATCATGCTGTTTCTAACCCTTCTCAAGTGAACAGCAGTTGGCTGATTCTTACTCTCAGCTGTTGCAGAGACTGTTTAGAATAAGGGAATTCTCAAGGTGACACAATGACAGAAAAGAAAATGGAAAAAATACTATTTTTTGTTGTTTTTCCATGAATACAACTATGGTATTTGAAAAGGTGCTTTTTTTCCTCTTTTTCTGACTATTACAGGTTTTATTTCACCTGTTGGATAGGGTTCGAGAATCTTCTACCACAGCTGACAAAGAGAAGATTGAATCAGGGGGAGGCAACATTCTCATCCATCATTCAAGGGATACAGCTGAGAAACAGTGGGCTGAGACGTGGGTATTAACACTGGCTGGAGTTGCAAGAATATTTAACACCAGGAGATACTTACTGCAGCCTTTAGGTAAAATGTATGGTTTAGAGTTATTGAAAGATACAGTAATAAACTTTTCCGCTTTTGTATATTTTTTTCAGTTCAGTACTGGGCAAGAATCTTAATGTTAGCTTAAAAGTGTGTTCTGTTGTGTCTCACCTCAAATGTAATGAAAATTACAAAGAGTTTTTAATTCATTCTCCTTAGAGCCAAAAATTGTAAGTACCAATTTCATCTTCTGTATCACAGTACTTGAGATTAAATCTCATTAGTCACAATTCTGGGTGCCAAATAGCTTTAATTTATAGTAGCCTGAAAACAATAATAATTTTTTTGTTCTTTTGGTTGTCAGAACATATTTTTCATCTTGTCTTTCTGAGGTTATGCAACACTTGCCTACAACTCTTCCATGGCATCAGTGTGTCAAGTTTAACAGTGCTCTTACCATGTAAAGAGACCTCGCTTGCAGAGTCAGTGAAGGATATAGCTTAGAGAAGAAGAAAGGGAATTTTTTAATGAATGAAAAGATTGGAGTTTTTATGATGTGAAAGATGTTGAGATTACCCACTATTACAAGTGATTATTTTTCTCCCCTCATGGTACTCCTCCACTGTTTGTCTTGTACAGAGATGTCAGTCTGAGTTACTTTACTGTTGTCCCTAATGCAGCTAACTGAAGTGAGTTCGCCTTTCTTCCTTCTTCCTTAAAATCTTACCTTTCCCATTTTGAAGTTTTTTATTTTTCTTCTATAACTTGTTAGTATCTATTTCTTTCTCTTCCTTTTTCTCAGGCTCTGATTTTTCCTTATTTCTTTTTTGCATTCTTGTAGAAATTAAACATCAGGCCATTTACTTAGCTATTGTAAAATATAAAATATTACTATGTACAATGGAACAATGTAAATGTACTGAACTAGATAATATAGTTCAGCATTCATGCCTGTTTTGTACAGAAAAAATGTTTCTGTTTAGGCTTCTAAACAGAGATATTCTGATACCATTTCAAAACAGTTTTCATTTCTAGTTTGGGTAACTAGAATTATGTAAATACATTACTTTCAAAAGTAAAAATGTGGTATAAAGAATGTATAGCTTGCAAAAAAAATTCCCCATTATATTAATATACCTTCACCATCCCGTAGTATGCAATTAATATATATATAACTAGAAATAAGTTGTAGTTTATTTCATTTTGGTTATTTGTGATACAGATATCAACATATAACTAGCTATCAACAGTATTGGTCATTTGCAGAAACTTAGTAGATTTTAAACTATATTAAACTTGAGTTAAAACTGAATAAAAAATAAAAACATTGCAGGGCTATTTTAATTATTCAAACCTAGTAATTAATAACATAGAAAATTAAAGGTTAATGCTAAATCTAATAAAAAACTCAAACTCCAAAGAGGAAATCTTTCTCCACAGTACAATTATCGGGAGTATTTTAAAATAAATTCTTTATAAATGTGCATATAGATTATATATATATTCTATATACATACATACTCTCTATATGTACATATTCTATATATATGACCCTTAATTCCTCATATGTGCTTAACACTTTTTGAAATCAACAGGCATCTGGTATCTATAAGAACAAATCTGTTTCACTGTCCTGAATAAAGAAAACTTATTTTTCTAGTATGGGATGTGGTATGTGATTTTTTCACCAGCAAATTTGACATAAACATTGATATATTGTTTCATTCTTCATATTTGTGAGTTTCTCTGGTCACATTTGTTCTTTCTGGTTATGGCTGAACTGATATATTCTGAAAGTCATTCAAGCCATCACCTAACCTCCTGAAATTTCTCTGTATTAGCATGTACATGTACAAGTACATGAACCGCCTTTTAGAGAGAGGGTGGGTGGGAAGGGGAAAAGAAAGCCACTTCCAAGCTGATTTCTTTTCCCTCTTTCTTTTTTTAAATAGGAGACTTTTCCCAAGCCTGGGACGTTCTTCTTGATCACATCCAATCAGCAGCACTCAGCAAAAATAATGAAGTTTCCTTGGCTGCTCTGAAAAGCTTCCAGGAGATCTTACAAATTGTTTCTCCTGTCCGAGACTCAGAGAAGCCTGACACACCACCTGCTATCAATGTTTCTGTACCTGTGGTGGTAGGGACAACAACTGCCACTAGTCTTGGCAGATCATTCATGAGAACTGACTCCATAGGAGAAAGAATAGGAAGATACAATGGATCTGAACCACCTGTAATAACAGATGAGATTGAAGATTTGAATCTTTGGTGGGCAGCCTGGAGCAGCTGGTATAGGATTGGTTCAGAAAGTACAAGGCCTCCAATTACTTGTGATAAATTGACTTTCATTCCCAGCCAGCCTTTTCTTACAGCTTTAATTCAAATATTCCCGGCTCTTTACCAACACATCAAAACTGGTTTCAGCATGGATGATCTCCAAAAGCTGGGTGTCATTTTGCACGGTGCTGTTTCGGTTCCAATCAGTTCTGATGCGTCCCCTTTCATCCTCCCATCTTACACTGAAGCAGTTTTGACAAGTTTGCAGGAAGCAGTGCTTACAGCTTTAGATGTTTTGCAAAAGGTAATAATGTGACTTCAAATGCGTGGTGAAAGGTAAACTACATTGTGTCTCAATTCTCAGAACTATAGTGTGGTGACATAAACATGAATTTTTAAATTATTTATAATTGCACAGTGTACTGTATTAGAACAATCAGGTGCAACCCAGGTACTCTACATTGAAAGGAATGGTGTAATCTTTATGAAATGCACTTTTGTTTGATTGCAGAAATACCTTAAGTGCGGTGCTGTGTTTGTAGCCATTTACTTGTCTAATATTACAGTATTGTACTATTATGAGGGTCTGTACACAGAGTTGGGGGGGAATAGTCCCCCAAACAGTATTCCTTATGTTGCCCAGGTACTGCCATAAAAAAAGTCCAGAAGAATAGTGATCATAAGAACTTTGACTTCATGCAAAATATAAAATATAAAAAGGCCTCTGGCAGATGACCTACCTTCTTGTCTCTTGTTAATCAGTCGTTTATGGAAAATGTTGCATCTCTGCTTAAGAAATTCTTACTATAGAACTCATCCTTAAAGGGCACCCTTCATGCAAGTGAATCTGTAAACAACAAATTAGGGTGCCCTTTTTCTGGATAGTTAGAAAAAGAAAAAAGGTATTGCTTCTTTCTTTCTGGAGTTGTAAATCATCTCCTTGAAAAATATATTGCTCATTCAGAAAACTTATTTATTTAAAAGAAGCAAAGTTGATAATGAATGAGAATGTGCATTTATGTTAAGCACTGCTTTAAAAAAACCCAAACCTTCAAACCCCCCAAAAAACCTGCTTGGGAAATGCCAGAACGAAAACTATCCATGTGACCTGACCTCATTCCCTTTGGGCTTTCATGCTATGACTACTTTGCTTAACTATGTGGTCATACCTTTTTTTTTTTTTTTTCTTTTTTTTTTATTCTTCCCCCTCTCAGGCAGGATCCTACCCCATTTAGCTCATAGAACACATGGTGTCTGCTTAATGATCAGCAATTCAACATCTTGTTTTCTTTTTGCTTAGTGTGGGTTGGGTTAACTTATCATACTTATTTACACCCTATACAAGGCAGAATCATTATGTTGCAGTCATTCCTTTAGTTTATGAGCTTAAAAAATATTCATGAATGTATTTTGAGAACAGAGGTGTAAGATTAGAAGTCGGTATTAAATCTCAGTTTGTATGTGGGGATAGAAATAACATGACGTTTTAACACCAATCACATCCACTAAATTTTCATCCTTTTCCAGTCAGGCTTGACCCTTTTGTACACTTGCCTTTCCAGCAGCTCAGCCCTGCCCAAGTCCTGTTTTCCCCACTTAATCACTCCATATATTTGTGTCTCACATTTTTCTGTTTCTTTGCCGGTCTCCTTATCCAGATGTTGTTAGCTCCCAAAGGCTGCAGGCATTAGCACTTTTCAAAGAAGGGGTTACCAGAGTTTTTAACATGAGGAAAAACTGAAATTATTTTTATACTCTTGTTCTTGTCAAGATGTTAATCTGTTTTAGCTGAAATTTTCTTAAAAAATTACAAAAGCAGTAACTCTCCATGAGAAACAGAGACATCCCCCTTTCCCCTCTCCCAGTCGAAATGGTTAGCATGGCAGTTACAAGCTTTGCAAATACAGACTTACATGGGAAGTCTTAGGTACCTCAATTTATACAGTACCTTCCACCCCATCTCTAGTTATATTACTAACAGAATGGCACTGAAGTCACTAAAAAAAAAAAGTATATTTGGACATAGTGAGTTTTGTGAAATCGCATGATCGCTACCCTTGGCTATGTAACACACCACAATTCACATGGTAAGGCAGCCAGGCAGTGCTGCTGCGGAGCAAAGGCCACCCATCGGATGGTTTTGCTGGAGGCCACAGTATCTTCTTCCTCTTTTGAAATTAATTAATACTCTCAGGAGTACACACAGAAGTTAGTGAAAGAGTATGTAAATACCTGCCACCTTCTTTTAAACAAACTGTTTCTTACATTGTTTGCATTGCGGCATCAGGTTAAGTTTTTTTCTTTGCTGATACAGGAACATTAGGGTCAGTTCTGATTTTCTTAGAAGTTCTGGAACAACCTTGTCATTGGAATAGCATGAAAAAACCCTGACATTTTTAAGACTGAGACCCTGACTGGTTTAATAAAGAGATTTTATGATGTGATGGCACTAGCAAAGGACATTGCAACTCAACTCAAGAACATAGGACTAGAAGGGAACCTTGGTTCTCCTTTCAGACTTCCATGTGTTGAGCCCATTTTACACTCTTTGTTTTGTTGTTAGGTTTCTTTTTATTCCTCATTAAAACTTGTTTTCCGGTCTTTCACTGCTGTAGTATAAGTGCCTGCTGCATCACTGTAGCTCAGGTAAAGTTTGTATGCAAGCCCAAATTCTCTTATTTTTTTCACGGCCTTCCTACATTGACTCTGGGTCAACTCTACAGTGGTCCAGCCTCAGACAGAGGAACACAGAGACATACTCGGGATCAGATACATTTCAATTCTGCCTCTGCAGGCAGTGTGGACGCAAACCTCTTGAGCTGTGAGTGTGGTAAACTCAAGGCTAGATTTACATACACTGGCAGACATGGTAGAGAATTAGCTACAGAGAGCTGTAGAAAAAACAGGAGTCCGTGACTGACTATAGTTGCACTGAGAGTTGTTAGCTAAATCTGAACTTTTAAAAAAATGTGAAAGTTAGCACCAGAATGATTTAAAGCATAAATTTGTGAAACTAAAGTACTGTGTCAATTTTTACAACAAACAGTGATCTGCAGAGTATTTTATTTTAGGGTTTGTTTGTGGTTTGTTGTTGCATGACCATTACTTTTTGATTTATATGTGTGTCTCTACTTAAGTATGTGAGTAAGTGCACTTAATGCAGTAAGTGCCACCTTGTTTTATAAGCAGCTCTTAAAGATACTTTCAACGTCCTTCATCACACACTTTGCTAGGCTATTTTTGAGTTTTTCATACACTTAAATAAAAGTTACTTGCTGTCAGTCAGAAGCATAAACCTATTTGAAAAGCAATTTTAGTTAGGTGAATTTTCAAAATGAAGTGACCTAATCCTTCTTTTTTTAAATATTATGTGGATAATTTTTCAACTTGGAAATATCCCAGTAGACTGGATAGAAAATACTTCTATTTGTAAAATAAAAATTTTACTAGAGTTTCATAAAATACAAAGAATAAGAAGCTGCTCATGCACAAACTTCAAATAGGAAGTAGTTATTGCTTTTGTTCACCAGCACAGAAAAAGTAGCATCTGAAATTATTTTCCCCTGATTCTGAAATCAATAATAATGATGATAATAAAAATCTATCAATGTGGAGTGAATGGCAAATGTATTTTGAAGTTTTCACATTACAGATGTTAAGAGGGTCTTCTGTGGGTGATGTAAGTTGCACCCGTGCAAGTAAGTTGCATCTATACAAAAGTTATCCAGGGGTTTGTGGATGCTCTCTTTTCCTTTCTAATCCATGCATTGGTACACAAAATAATTTTTTATACCTTTTCTAATAGGTGTGCAATCTTGCATTAAAATTTAGTGCAGTGACTTTGGTGCAGCAGCATATCAGCTGAAATTGTTTTACATGGTGTTGAATACTTTTAGATCAGCAATTAACCTTTTAGTCTTCTGCCACACAGGTGAGTATCTAGCATCAAAGCATCTTTTTCAGAGTTCAGTACAGTCTTGAACTTGAGCACCAGTATAGGAGTATGGCTTTTTGGAAGGGGTGCTGCATTATATTCGTAATGTTGATGAAGCTTTTTGAGCATTAGACATGCATTTTGAATTGCAGGAAGCTGAGGAAAAGGGAGAGGCCACTGATGATTCATGGAGTGCTCTGCTGCAGGTTGTAGATTGCCTGAAGGTACAGCTAGGTCTTCGGGTGATCTAGTGGTGGCAGTGCCTGTAGCCCCTGTTGGCTTGCTCCCTTGTGTGGCTGGGGACTCAGGATATTGGCTAGCCCATCGACTGCCACAGCTCATGACCCAGCATGGAGGCTGCACTCAAATAGCTTCAGAGCTGTTGGCACCTTGAGTGAGTTCAGCCACAACTCGTCATGGATCTGTGGTTAATGAAAAGGGGGTTTGATTTCTCTGCAGAGAAAAATGACAGTACAAGTACAAGGTCTTCTTGTGGAGCAATAAATAGACTGTTTCTTGACATGTTGAGAGGAGAGACTTTGGGAGGAGAAGCAAGACATTTAAAACGACAGAAAATAATTGGGGTAACTTCATAGAATTATTGTATCTGGCTTTGAAAATAAATGCTCTAAGATTGCCTTGGGTTTTATATTGCAACAGGAAATCATTAGCCTATGACAACATGATATTTCATTGACATCTTGTTAAGTACACCCTTCCTGAAATGTTTTCCATTTTAAAGCAAGATTATGAGTTTCAGCTATACCAAAATCATACCATTCTCATTTTATTTATGTTGCTTTCTCTAAGACACGATTTTATCTACTTATGAAAATACTGTATGAATTACTTCTAAGATGTATATGTTCCTTGAGGTAGAACTTTAAGAAGATGTGGCTGAGATCAACAGACAAGACTTTATATAAGACTTATAGTTTGCTGCCATGTCAAAGCAGAGTTTGTGAAGAAAAGATATCTTTTATTGGATGAAACAAGATAGCTGTATTTACTAAACTATATATGCCCAAGGTATCTTGCAACTCAATTTAATAAAATAACAGAAATTACTTTCCTTTAACTATTAGAACTATACACTATTTTTTATACAGCATGACTCTTGGATAGTCTTATATGGGAATTTTTCTGTAGGAGCTCCTTGAACTGATGCTGATTTTTGAATGTGGAATCTCAAGATACATATTAAGCCTTTGCATTTCCTTTTGTTATAGGCTATATGTGTGGGCTCAGAAAGTATGCAGATAATGTATCCTGCAATCTTCGACCAGCTGTTGGCCTTTGTAGAATTTTCCTGCAAGCCTCCACAGTATGGACAGCTGGAAACAAAGCACATTGCAAATGCAAAGTATAATCAGGTAATTAATTAGAAATCTCACTTGTTTCACTTGGTTTGTGAACCCAATTCAGCTTCAGATATAGGTTGTTCAGCAAGATGCATTTATTCTATCTGTAAAAACTTTGCTGTGTACGTTGAGTAGTAAGTTAATTTATTAGGATTTTTTTTACATGCTTTTGTTATCTTCATTTGCTCCCTTTGAATTTTACTTTGCTTTTATACTTTGTATTCCTCCATTTAGGAAAGGTCTTGCCTGGACACCAGACATAGTGAATGTGTCTGAATTTGTCCAGTGAATTAATCTAAAATAACTTGTCCTACATGTGATACCAAATTTAATAGACACAATAATTTTGAATGGAGAAAATTCCCTCAAGCTGCAAATTTTTGAATTGCACGTGCTGTAGAGAAATGGGACATAATAATTATTTTTATCTGTGTACTCTGCTGTTCACTGAGCATGAGCATCTGATTCACTGTAATCGAAGAGGTAACCATTATGTATGTATTAATTCTTCTTATTCTATTTGTTCTGCAACACAATGGAATCACACTAGATACAACTATTTGCACCGGTGAGTTAAATTTCCTTAAAGATTGTGCTAATGTAGTTGTCTTGCCTAGACTGCAAAATTTCTCCTACTTAAATGTACTTTACTTCAATGTAGAGTACATTTTAATAGTCAGACTACATTGTATTTGCAGTTTTGTTGCTTGGACCATATTCTTAGCAAACTTTGCATGCATTAAACTGAGAGTTCAATGCAAAACATACGTTTTCTGTTCCTTAATTAATATATTTTCACATATAGTTCAGTAATTCACTAATTTCTTTTCCTAGGCGGAATGGGTAGCATTGAATTATGTACCATTTGCTGAGAGATCACTGGAAGTTGTCGTGGACTTATACCAAAAGACAGCTTGCCACAAAGCCGTGGTAACAGAGAAAGTTCTTCAGAACATTATTAAGGTAAAAGTTTGTCCTGTGTATGCTTTGAATTTAATGAGCTTACATTGAAAATCCTGAATTTTATTTTGAGTTAGTGTTGATAAACACTATCTGGGAAGCTTAAAGCTTTAGTAAACAAATTGCAGGCCTCTTGGTAAATATGGCATTGAAGGCCAAAGACCAGTTTTTGTAGACTGTACTCTGGGGGCGTGTGCTTTAGCTATTACTTTTTATATTCTTTTAATGACTTGGTGTGTCATTGATGTAGCTATGGAACGTTAGTGGTGCACAAATATACCTTTAAGGTGAAATTGCAAAACTCTTAACTTTTTTGGACCTTGTTTCCATTTTAGTGAATAATTTTGGTAAATAATAGTAGTAGTAGTAAATGTCTTCTGGGGAAAAAATGTATGTGACCTAGGTTTGTTAGTAATGACTTGGCTGACACCAGGTTGTTCCTGTATAGACATTTGTAAATCCAAAAAATAGTTATGTGGTATTACTTGGAATCTGTTATGAATTAAATATTTGTATTTCAAAGTTAATGCAGTTGTTTTCCACTTGTTTTAATTGGGTAGATGAAACTGATATAAACACCACTTTTCTTTAATGTTCACAGTTGATAATAATGTGATCTACTGCAGTAGATGAAAATGGTTTTAAAGTTATTTTTCATGTCTCTAAAGCCCATGTTGATATTGGAATTAAATTTGACCCCTATGAACAATAGCAGCAGAAGAAAATATTCTGTTTTATCTCTAGGGTTAGATCCTAGCTCTCTTAATTTTTGGCAATAGAGGGTTAATTACAACTGACTGACTCTTAAGAGCAAGAAGTGAGTCTTTCCTCTTTCCTCCTTTTGCTTTCCTCAAATCAGAGTCTTCACTAAAAGCATTGGGAGCATATGTGTAATACCTGAACTTAGTGATTTGAAATGTAAATTAAATAGTTAGTTTTCCAAGATAACTTGGTATTGGGTTCTAGTTAGTTTGACTAACAATGCTTAAAGGAGTACATGTAATGTAAATAGTACATATGCTTAATGTTTTAAAACTCATTAATGATTTTCTTTTACAGATATTGAAGCTTTCTATCTAAAAGACTTAAAATTTGCCATATTTTCATCTGCTATACATTTGAGCTGTATTGCAGCCTTTATCTTAAAATTTCACTAACTCTTCTTGCTTTTAAGCTTCACGTGGATTAACAGTCAGCAATGAGCAGGTGTTTTGCAGTGGTTATGTACACAGTTCGACTTTTGTATATTAGGAAAAGTTTAAATTTAATGAAGCTTTTTTTCTTCACTGTGGAAGCACTTGGGATAGCTTTCTAGGAAGAGGACTAAACTCTCCAGAATATACTCATGATAACAAACTGCTTGCAATCTGTTAGATGTTAGGAAAAAGCCCGTTTGTCAGGCTTAGCAGAAATGGTGGATGGCAGCACAGAAAAAGAAAATTATTATGTAATTTCATAGTGTAATTGGTAATGGATCAACTCTGACTTCTAACCTTGTACTTGGCAACAGACCTGTGCATTAGCCAGCTGGTATATGGTAAATCATCTTTATATCATATTTTTTAAACAAGCATCTCATATACCAGCAGAAAAGGTAGGGATGTGCACTAGCAGCTATGACAGTGTCTGCCAAGATCTTCTGCAGAAACCAGTCATATTCTTAGATTTGTCTGAGCAACTATAAATTTTGTTTTAACTTCCATTTTGCAGACACTAAGAATACCTCTTAGTCTGAAATATTCCTGTCCTTCTGAAAGCACATGGAAGCTAGCTGTTTCCTCTCTGCTCAAAGTTCTCTCTATCGGGCTACCTGTTGCAAGGCAGCATGCATCTTCTGGAAAATTTGACAGCATGTGGCCAGAGCTAGCAAATACTTTTGAAGACTTTTTATTCACTAAAAGGTAAACACAATTTACTTTTTTTGTTTTAAACTGGAAAATATTTGTAAGTAATATGTTCAGCAAATGTGTCAGTAAAGTTCAGTAAAAATATCTTTAGAGATATTTGATATCTGAAAATTATTTTAATGAATGAGGGACAAAAGTTAACCAGTCTGTCTACTTAAAAAAAAAAGTATACTTTTAGAAAGTGGTAGAAAAAACTTCATTCAAAAGGTGAAATGTCAGACCAAGAAAGAGCTCAGCTGACCTCGGAATACAAGGCACAGCCTTTCTGACCAGGCCAAGGAATTCTGTATGGACGCCCAAGGACTTTTACTATAGATTTGATAAAGAGTTACTGATGTGTACTCAATTTGTTCCTCTTTTCACTTTGAATTGCAACAATGATTTTTTTTTTTTTAGTTAAGGTGAACACCATTAACTGTATGTATTTCTCTTGAGTTCCATCTTGAAATATTCCACTTACTATGAGTTTTTGAAAACTATTTCTGTTCGCGTAGAAGCCCACAGTTATCTTGCCTTTGTTTCTACCCAAGATAAATTGATTGCACCTTAAATAAAGTGTGGTTAATTATTATAATACTTCATGAAAGTGTAGCTAGACAGTCAGATTTATAACTATACAGACAGGTAGATGTATAAGTGCGTGCATAATCTCTCAAGAATGGAACACTGTAGATGTGGGCATGTTGAGAAAGTCCAGAAGTGAAAAATAATAATGATAAGAGACTTAGACAATCTGATTTTTTAGTTTGTTCAACCCAAAGAATGTATCATTAGGAAGACATAATGAGTCTTCAGAATATGTTGAAAGATTGCTCCAGAGAAGAATTTTTATTGTCCCTTGAGAATGGGTAGAAATGGATTTCAGTACAGCAAAGATTATCTGTGTTAGACATTAAGGAAACCTTTTACTGTAAGGAAGGTTAGGTATTGTAGGAGATTGCTTAGGAGTGGTATTGAATTTCCATCTTCTCTGAAAATCTGTGCGTAAGCATCTTTTAGGAGTAGTTTAGGTATATCTAATAGTGTCTCAGATTAAAGGACAATGCGGAATATGAAAAATTTAATTCCCTGATTTTCTGTGTATATGCTGATTTCAGTAACAAATTAATCCTACTTTTTAATAGAAAACGGTAGGGTTCTTCTGTACCTAACACTAATATGCCATGCATTTGTATGTGTATAGTTTTCAAACACAGAAAAATCGGCAACCAAACACAGCTGTATTTACTAATGATGAATAAATAGCAGCTTGCCCAAAACAGTCCAAAAATAAATACCAATGAAACTTAATTTTAGAGACACATCCGTTACTGAAAATGTTTGTAATAATGAATGGTTTTGGAATTTCATCAATAGGTTTACGTGACAATTGAATGAAAAACCTTTCTTTTGTTTTTGCATTTACTTCAAAGAAATACTACTAAATAGGACCTTAAAATAAAAAAGCTCATCAAGACTACATAAAAGGCACTTTCATTATCCAAGTTTTTGTTTTGATGCTTCACTGTTTCTTTAATTTAAAAAAATCTTTGCAGTGTCTTGTTTGGTTTTGTTTTCAGCTGTGGTTAGTAGTCCTGCTTCCATTCTGAGACAGGCAGTCCAGATCAGCTAACACCCAATAATCAATATCATTGTTGGGTTTAGAAAATCAAAATGAAGGTTTGTCAGGTCATTGTAGAAGAGTGTATGTTCACTTAGAAGTTACATTGGGAATATGTACTACTATTTGCTGTGAATGAGTTATTCCTAAATATCTGCAAGACAGATGAAACATATCTATTTTGCATGTTATTAGCTGACCCGGACTGGCACTGCTACAGTTTTTCGGTATTAATAATTCATAAATCCAGGGAAGTAAGATCATCACAGATCTTCAGTGTAATTCAAGATAATCCACTATCATCTGCATGACCTTTTTGGCCAAGTATGTTACCTGGTTTTATTAATTTACAGCATGTGATTTATACTTTTTTTGAAAGTTGTTCCACTGTAGAAACTACGTTTTAACATGGGGCTTGCTAGAAACAATCACTGTTGGCATTAATTCTAATAGCTTTTGCCAGCTGTCATACACAGGCGAATATTCTCTGGAGGTAAAGGAAAAATAGTACTTCTGTGAATATTTATGATGCCCTAAAACTTGTCTGTCTTCACTTAAGTCTGGTTTTGCCTCTTTAGAGACCAGAGTGTATGCTATAATTTTGCATACAAAATGTGGTTTAGGAATCAGCATTTTCATCAGAATTAAAGATGTTCTCAGAAAAGCTATATGACACTTTTCTGTTCTCTCACTTAGAAGCTTTAAGGTTTAAAAGAATTTAAAATATTAAAAATAGGCTGCTGGTTTATAGAACCATATGGCTACAGCAGGATAATTTGGCCTGTTATTATAATTAATTGCCATTATCATTACTCTTTCCTGGCTTGTTATGAGTAGATGATTTTTGCTTATATGGTTGTTGAATGTCTGGTTTGGGGTTGGGGTTTTTTTGCCCCTTGTTGTCCATCTTTTTCTAAATAGCAGTTTGTCTTCCCAAGTGCATGGTTCTCTTACTTACTGTTAGAGCCCTGTCCCTTAGTAGCTTTAGGATAGATGGCTTTTCTGTTCCCTCTATCAGCCTGAGCCTTGCGGTCCTGAAAAAAAATTAAAGCTAAGAAGGGAGGACATCTGCCTCATGCCAGTAGTAAGGACAATTAGTAATAGCAGTCATTTCTACTTTTCTTCATCCTCTTCCTCCTATTCCCCACAATGCTCCTGAAGCGTGCCTCTCTCACTTTGATGCAAGGAGGGCTCTAGAGATAGCTGTGGAAGTTCTCCACATTGAGGTAATTATCTTCTGATTTCCTTTGGTTAAGTCCTTCTGTGGAAGATGCTATGGAACTAGCTTTGGCAAATAGGGCAAACCTGTCCCTTTTGTGTTAGGATTTTCTAAATTGTGTCTTTTCATGGATTGTAATTCCAGTATAGTCAGTCTCTTACATTTGTGGTTGTTCCATTTCTAAGTAAATTGAATTCAGAATTTTCAAATCTACTGTGTTCTTTCAATTGTTTTTTCTTTGCTCTAATAGAAAATATATGTTAATCATAGTGGTGTCTTATTCCAGAGTAATTAGGGAGAATCTATTCACTGTTTTGAAAGTAACAAGTTAAATTTATCACTGAGTCAAAGTATGTCAGCCTTCAGCTTATAGGAGAAGGCAATGGGAATGTACTTTCCAACTGTCCATGTTGGTCCTTTATTTTAGGCCAGCTACGTGGTATAAAAGCTGTTTTTCAGTGTGTTCCCCAATTTATTTATATTAACAATGAGTCATGTTTTTTTAAAACTGTTGATAGTACTTGGATTTTTGTCTATATCACTGAAATCAATTAACCAAGCCACAGATGAGACGATGAAAGCACCCAATGCCCTTCGTTAGACTAGTGACTTGTAAAGTTGACTTGGTTTTAGTGACCCTGCTAACCATAACTGTGGCTTACCGCGACTGTGTCAGTCACCCCTCGTGGCTTTCCAACTTGCAAATATGCCATGCAGGATGGGGGGTTTATTAAGTCAGGTGCAGAAGTGTACAAATCTGGCTGCACTGCTGAAGACCAGCATGACTGAAAGGGTTCTGGAGCGCAAAGAATTTGGAAAATGCAATTCAGAGACACGCCAGGAGGCTGTCGGTGAGATAGAGTAACAGCATGACTGCATTATCTGGATTTTTACCATTATTCAACACGTCACCCCTTGTGAGAGGAATACAGTTAGATACATTCAGTTAGACCTGAATGCAGTTAGAACTGAAAATTTACTTTCTTGTGCCAGCATTCTGTAATTTTTCCTAAGCACTGTGCTTCAAGGAAACTGAAATGTTTTATCTCAAAGAAACTTACTTTTCTTCCTTCACTCCTGTATGCCTTTTCATACTCCACACTTTCCACTATTTAATAGTTTACCTGTTCCATGCTTTATCTGTCCAGGCATCATGCAAAGCTAGGTAAATATCTTCCTTTTGTATCTGCTCTTCAAGCCCTTATTCTACAGAGCTGACTTAGCACTGCTGGGATGGTTCTAAACATGAAATATCTGCATCTCTGTAAAACTTGGAAATGACTTACTGCAGTTAGTCCTCCTAGAAACACTGCATAACAGATTTGGCTGTTTTTTCCCTTTAGCTTAGGAGTGAGTGAGCGGCTTTGTGGTGCTTAGTTGCTGGATGGGGTTAAACCACATCAGCTTTGTTCATTAAAATATCCCAGTGCATGTAGTCTCATTTTTGTATGCACATTCTCCAAGTTTCTACCTGGTTGAGGATAGAGTAGAAAGATAAAACTCTTACTATTTCACTTTTGTTCTACATTTTTAATCAACATTTTAAACATTTTTCTAATCTAGATCATAATTCTTGTAATCACTGTGGTCCTAGAAATCATGTGTGTAGATAGCCTAATATTGTTTCCACCAGTGAAACTGAGTTGGCATGGGTTAGGCAAGAGGTCACTGTGGATAGAACCCTTAAATTAAAGCTCTGTGAATCTCTGCATGGTCTTGCCTCTGTCTTTTGGACGGGAACAGGTTTTCAAGCCAGCTGTGGGGCTGAATGAGAGGAGATACTCATTGATGTTTAAAAAGTACAAAGCACAGCAGAAATGGTCTCTGCAGCTTTGTAAATCAAGAAATTTCAAATATAGCCAAAAGAGGCCAGGTAAATGAAAAAGGAAAATGTTACTGTCATAGAGAATTAACAGCTTCCACGCAATAAGCTTCAGCTTTTTTTTTTTTTTTTTTTAAAGCAAGCTATAGCTGAGGAGGCTCAATAATCTTGATATTTATTATAAATCAAAACAACATTTAAAAATTAATACTTTTCACATAACTTAATTTACACAAAAATTGTTTTCTAGTGAGA